GTTAGTCTTTTAGGTTGTTTTTTTCTTTTTTTCTTTTTTTCCTACATGTCAGAGCTGAATTCTCATTAGGGAAGCTGCCCGCAAAGGTGTTGGCCAAGAGGTGAGTTCGACTACTGTGTCTTTCGTTGGTAATGCTCTTGTTTTAGAGAGTCCCCGTGCCAATCCTTCAGATATAGTCTCGTGTTTGTATCCCTTGTGGTTGGAGTCCTCCTTCGCTCAGGGACCTCCGTTATTTAATTTTTTAAGAATATAGTACAAAGTTTGGGCTCCTGAAAAGAAGTATTTTGGGCAAGAGAATTTAGTGGTAGAGAATGAGATTTAGAATATACCACATAAAAGCTGAAAATGTGGAAAGAATCTAAGATTGTGCCTAAATCTGCTGCCGTTCAGTGTCTGACCAGGCACTATTGTTGCCTTAATTACCATTGAATTTGGTTTCTGTGTGTAACAACCTCATTACAGAGACCTACCTGATCCAACTACCACATCGCCCTGTGGTCAGTGAGTATCCTACGGTAAGCAAAAACACGGGCAGGGCTGCACAGCTGCACGAAGAGATCTTCAAGGATGTCTGAATTCTGTGGGAAGAAATCGTGCTGGAGAATCAGAAATGGCATTTCTCCTCTGGAGTATGTAAGTAACCAACTGCTGGTGGGACTCTGTGAGCTGTTGTGCTGCTGGAGGGATGCTCGGAATTCACCAGGTGGTGTGTGAAACCTCTACAGTAACATTTGGTTTAGTGCCTCTATTTACTTTGGTCCATTTCTCATCTTCCAGAAATTTCATCACGTTTTGTGTAGAGACAGCATTCTGCCTAGAGGAGCATGGGCACGCCTGGCCCCAGAGGCATGAAGACTGCTGCGCTTCAGTGGGGAAAGGTCTCGATGCAGAATGTCGTCTGTGCTTCATCTGAGACATGGCTTTGCTTACAGTTAGTGATTCTTCCGTATACACTCTGAAAAGTATATTTAGAAGATTTTTTTTAGCACTAAGATGTAATCTGTGTAGAACATTTCACCTGTTTTTCATGAAATTCTGCATAAATCACCTGATAAAGCTCTGCCAGTGCTTTGTTCAGTAACAGAAGGGTTGCACAATAGACACTGTGATGGGGTGTAAGGGTGCGAGTCATCGTGGTGCGTTTTCTTACATCTGTGTCATAGTATGGCTGAGCTATGATTGTTTTTTGAAATGTCCACACCTTTAAAAAAAGCCTCACGAAGAGCATTTTGCTCTGGCATTGTTTCAGCCCTTGCTTTGGCCAACCAATTTGTCATTCGGGGGCTGTCGGGGCACTGATGTTCTGCTTGGGGACGATGGCAGAAAGAGCTGAAAAGGTGAGAAGAGGAGAGTACGGGGTTCAGCCTGCTGCACTGGCCCCGGAATGCTCACAGGCAGTGGGAGAGCCCTCCCCGAGGGCTGCTGCTGAAGAGTTGGCACGAAGCAGCAAGGAGAGGTCTCGAGGCTGGAAAACGAAGCGATCGGGGAATTGCGAGAGGCAGCACTGGGTAAGTTGGCGCGGGCTGAGGGAAGGAGGCCGTAGCGGTGATCTCCCTCGTTACACGGGCTGCAGCTTGCGCTGGTGCCGTAGGGGGGGAGCGGCTTTTGAAGCGAGATTGAATCTGCCCGGCCTGGCTTCGAGTGTTTGTCCTCTCGCATGCGGTATGGCGGAGGAGAGCGCGTCCTTCCCCTTTTTGCTGCAGCTGCCGTTAGGGCTGTCCCTGCGAAACACGTTCTTCTTCAGGTGGTGGTGTCAGGGGAGGAAGGAATGAAAACTTCCACTAACCCAGGCCCTGCTGTTCTGCCCTGGCTTTACGTCTCTGTTACCTGGGTTTACTCTGTTGGGGTCATTCCCTGTAAGGGTTTGAAGGAAAAAAAGTGCTTTGGCAATGTGCGTGGAAAGGGGGGGCCACCCATGTCCGCCTTTTGGTCTGAGCTCGCTGTCTGGGTTCCCTCCAGAGAGAGGCGGGATGAATTGTCCTTTAACGTAACCTCTAAAAAACTTCTCTGGCGGGGTTTTGGGTGGCCGGTACGGACTGGGTGGCTGAGGCTGGTGACAAACCCCCCTTTAGCCAGCACGAGAGCTGTGTTTGGATAAATACCAAACTGTTCGGTCCGTGTTGAGCAACGTACTCCGTGTAATGACACCCAGAGCAGGTGGAAATACAGTTAGAAACAGCTTTTGTTACCAGCAGTCTCGGGCTGTAAAACAGTGAGCGTTGCGGGTTTATGTTTGTGCTGACGGGGAGTTTGTCTGTACTTAAGCTCAGTTCTTTGTTTTCCTGGTTGCATCCCTGTGCGGTTGGATCTAGGGGAGTAAGCGCAGGCACTGTTGCGTGGCTGAGAAATGCAGATTGATGGGTACGGATGTCTGGAGATGACCAGTGCTTAGCAGTGACTGGGGAGCCCCACTCAAGCCAGTGTTCTCCTGGGTGGGTTTTGGTGCGTGTCTCCATTTGCAGTGTCCTCACGGCTGTGGCTCCGCTCTGTGCTCTCACCGGGAAGGCAGCCCCTCCCCTTGTGCTAATCCCATTCCTCCCACCACCCATCACCTCCGTTGTCAGCCCTGGTGTAGAAAGCAGGGGGCTCATGGACAGGGGCTCTGGTTTGGGACTGCCAACGCTGCCCGCTGGTTGAAGAAAAAAAATAGTCAACTGCTTCCTGGCGGCAGTTCTACCTTTGCAGAGATGTTTGCCATCTCTTTCTGAAGGCCCTCAAGCTTCACGGTGTGAGTGAGACTTCAGGGACGGAGGCTGTTCTGTAAACCACCAAAACTGATCCAACTGGAGTAATATTTTACCACTTCCTGAAATAAAGCCTCAGTCCTGGAACAGCAGAGGCAACTGCTCTTAGCAGGAGGAACTGGCCATTAACAACGTGCATCGGTGCCAGAGCTCCACTGTACCCGTGAAGGAGCCCAGCGAGCCATCAGGGCGAGCTGGGAAGGGACCCGAGCCCGAGCCGGTGGTGTGGTACCCTGGCGTTGCCTGGCCGGAGTTTTGTGACTCTTGCTGCCCACAGCAGGAGGCGTTCCGCACTGGGCCCGGCCTGTCCTGGGAGAGGCTTCTGCCGGCGGTCAGAGCCAGCGAGTGACCACGGGGTTGTGCTGGGAGTGCGTGAGGGGCGAGCGTTGCGGTGGGGCGGGAGAGAACCAGCTCCAAGTGCAAGACTCGGCGTTGCTGTCCTGGCGTGTCTGTGAAGGGCCCTTCTGCCTCTCGGCAGTGCCTTGGCGGGTCTGAACGGGGACAGAACCAACGTGAGGGGTGCGAACTCACCAGAACAGTTTTGACTCCTGTTGAAGTGCTCTTCTGACCTGTGCTTGGGAGGAGGAGGAGGAGGAGGAAGCAGTCACTGTATTAGAGTGAGGCAAGGGGGATCAGGAGCAGTATTTGGACTGTGAGTAACTCGCTTTGCTGGCTTTGGTTATTAAGTACAATAAGGAATAGAATGAACTCACGCAGAGGAGAACGTGTCTGAGAGGGATATTATGTTTTAAAACAAAACCCCCCTCACTGCATATTTAGTCACTGCAGCAGTTGAATTTGAGAACTGTGAGCACAAATGGCAGAAAACTCTGGCCATATGCGTACATTACTGTGAGTAACTCGCTTTGCTGGCTTTGGTTATTAAGTACAATAAGGAATAGAATGAACTCACGCAGAGGAGAACGTGTCTGAGAGGGATATTATGTTTTAAAACAAAACCCCCCTCACTGCATATTTAGTCACTGCAGCAGTTGAATTTGAGAACTGTGAGCACAAATGGCAGAAAACTCTGGCCATATGCGTACATTTGGGACTTGCTCCCGTATCCACTAACTGCAATTAAAAAACAGGTGATCCAATTTTTTTAAGAAATGCAATGTTTTATTATTTTTTTTTTAGAAAATAAATAAGTCAGACATTTACAATACCTAATTCCAGTGTTATGTTAACACCACAGGGGAGGTATGGTCTCTTGTTGGATGTCAGACCAGGCTTGGAACATCTTCTCTCTCACACACCCCTACTTGAGCTGTTTGGTTTGATAGCAGCACTTCATGATGCGTTTATCGGGGCAGTTCCTAGGTGTGCCTGTGCTCATGTAACAACCGCTGCGCGCTGTAGGTTTGCTGTGGCTGAGCTCACTTTCCCAGAAATACAGAACCCTGAAGAACAAGTCAAGGGGGAGTGGGGCCCTTTATTAGGTTACACCGCAGCATGGCACTTAAAATTTGGGGGAAAGAGAGCACCCAGGAGAGAGAGTGCGGGGAGGGGGTAAGCTGCAATGCTGGTAATGCACATTGCCACAGGAGGAAATGCTGGGTTACGTTGTGTGGAGACCAACGTACTGAAAACTGTCCTCTAACTGGGGGGACACACACACCAATTAAAAAGCCAACACTGGTTGTGCAAGGAAGTGCTGTGCTGACAAAAATGGTGCGAGGTTCTATCAAACTGACCTTTCCTCCTAGAAACGGCGGCTGTGTCTACAGTAGCAGGTCGTGCTGCCAGACGGAATGGCACCTCGGAGGACACAGGCTTTATTCTGGGCTGGCTCTCAGCTGGTAGGAGCATATTAGGTGGGGGGCTACTGGAGAGTGTCTCTCCGTGAAATTTTGTTCAAAGGGCTCTAGCTCTGAGACCCCTCTGATGTGAAGAGATGCATGTGACAAATGATGAGGAACTTACTCTAAAAACTGAAGTCTGAATGCAGACTAAAATATTACTGTAGGTACTGCTGTGAATGCCAACAACTAGCTTGTCTTCAGCCACAGGCCCTTCGGTGCTGCTTAAATACCTTAGTGCTAAGGCTGTGGAAGACAAAGACAGCGAAGCACGCTCTGAAGCGTGACCGCTTCAGACTCCTTCCAAAATCTAGGAGAACAAAGTAGTAAATTCCTGAAGTGTTTCAGGAGTGTCCCAGAGTGGAGAGGGATCGTGGTTTGTCAAGCTGGTCTTTAACTTCACTATATACCTCCATAAACCTTGAAGCGGAACAGCGAGTAAGGGAACCATCTCTCACAACATGCTTTCTTCAATCTCAACATCTGTTTCAGCTCCTGGGGGCTCAGGCGTGGCTATTGTAAGCCTTGACACCTCTGCCACTGGCATCTTCTCTTCCAATTGTTCTGTAGAGCCTTGTTCTCCCCCAGGAAGGCTCTGCACTGCTTCCTTCTGAGTCTCTGACTCTCCAGGAAATCCTGCTTTCACATAGTTCCTCACCATCTCCTGCACCTCCATATTCAGATTTTTCAATTTCTCCTCATACTCCGCCAGTGCTTCCTGCTGGAGCTGCAAACAAGGACCAAACATCATTCTCCAAACACTGAAGCCAAGCAGATGTCAGGCTGAGAACCTGCTCTGAGACACCAATATGATGAGGTGTTAGCACTTCACAATTTTGGTCCCAACCCTCTACTGAATGACTTTTCTCCATCCCCCAGGCAATCTTTGGCTTCCCTGAAGATGAAAGCGGGGAGGATTGCTGATTTACAGTAGTCCGAGTTGCACGTTTGCTGCATGTCAACACTGAAACAACATGAATGCCTTTTGTGTGTTTTGAGGGTTTGAGGAGCTCAGGGATGAGACTCATGTGCTCTAAAGCTGCATTTCCATCACACTTTAAATTTAGGATGTTTTTGTGTGGTTAGATGAATGCCAGTGCTGGCACAGAGAGTGTAGGAGTGCAGCACCTCTGACTTAGATCTGAGTAGGCTCCTGTAGAACCACCTGCTAAGTCATTCATTTCCTCAGCGTGCTGAGGAGTGGGTGGCTGAAGCGTGTGTGTGGAGGATGAATGTGGCAGTAATTAAAGAATGTGCAAGGAAGACTGATCCCCTCTAGTATTTTGGATTTACTGTACTGAGTAACAGTAGTGACCCGAGCTTCATCCTTGCCTTTACCTGGCTTGCTTTCTCCTTGATTGTTCTCAGATTATCTGCCTGCTTCTCTTCCAGTTTCTGCTGATACCTGGCTGTCTTTTCTGTCACCTTTAAAAAGAACAAATTAAAAAAAAACCACTCAAATTTAAGTATTTATAAACAAATACTTTAGCCATCCCAAGCTTCTAACAGCAAGACACAGTTATAGAGCACATGCCACAGTATCCCTCGCATTCCCAGTTCTGCACAATTTCTGCTGGCTCCAAGTTACTTGTGTAGTACTCAAGACTCAGAACTCCAGCGCTAGGGAAGCATTGCAGGAGCGTGCACTTGTGTGAGCGTGGGGACACACGGGGACACACCGCCCCCCGCCTCTCTGAAGGGCAAAGATGAGACCCTTAGGGCCTCCTCCCCTTCTGCAAAATTTTGCACACTACTAAGTAGATGTGGGGTTACACTGCTCATTAATTGTGCATCAAAAATACTCCTGAATTAGAAATGCAAAATACCCTGGACAGCTGTGCTTGCATTGCATCTCTGACCAGGCGGGAGGGCCAACGAGACCCTTATGGACCTGCGGTATTTTAGTAAGGGTAGTAGCTGTCTCCAGCTGCACTTTGGCTGTCTGAATTACACACTGAGTCCTCGATGCAGTAGCGATTTAATGGGATTTAAATCCCTCAGAGAAGTCGCACTCTGTCTGCGAGCCATGCTGATGAATGTACACGAGACATCCTGACTTTTTGCAGAAAACAGAGCTGCTGTGGCAGACTGTCACAGGAGAACTTACCAGTTTGATTGTTTGCACCACTTCCTGAATGTGAGTGTTATTAATTTCTTTCTTCAACCTTTAAAGAAAGGAAATGTATAAAAACCTATAATCCATCTGTTAGCTTTCTATAGAACCTGTTTATCAATACTGATAAAGTGCCATACAGTAAGACAGGACTGCCAGTGCCCACACGGAAAGACAGGTGTGTGACATTCTCACAGCGTCCTCCCACACTGAGACGTTGCTGTGATTTTAGGAAAGGCAAATAAAGCACCATTCAAATTTGACTGAGACATAAGCCAAATAATTGGATGCAAAATTCTATTTTTTCAGCTTGACAGACAGCAAAAGGACCTTGCTGTGAGCCAGAAGTGAAGGAGGTAGCGTACTCTCTTCTGTACCTCAAACACGTGACGCTGTTACAACTGATTTGTATGGCGCCGTACTTGAACGCACAGGCTCAGCAGCAGAGTATTATTTTTATAACAATAAATGGGAAGGAAGGCTGCAGCCATCATATGCCCAGACACAGCCTCTTAACTGAGAGGGCTGCTGAAACGGATTACAAACAGATCCTAGAGAGGCTGGAGATCTGCCTTTGGTTCTCGGGAGAGAGAAATACCCGCCAAGGCCTGAGGGGAAGCAGGAAGTATTTGGAAGTGCTCTTCGGCTTCAGCTGAAGAGACTGGAAGGTGCAGCGCCACTTCAGCTGAAAGCTTACGTGTCATGTAAGAGAGCGAGAGATGGCTGCATGGGAGGCTTGTCTTCAAGGTACAACCTCTCCATCTGTAATGGTCTCCCCCTGCATTCCCCCATGAGCTCCTACTCCCCGCGGGGGGGGCAAGGGGCATTTCTAAGGCACTCCTTCTCTCAGGCTATTTAGCAGTCCAGTAAGTGAAACCAATTTTGCTGACTGCCTTACACAAAAGAAATGAAGCCTACGGAGAAAGCTCTGGAAGCCACTGTCAGCAGTGATTGCAGGAATGATGTTATCGCTGCAGCTAGGGAGCAGATGTTTGGCGTCACTGTGTGTGTGCCTGTGTACTGGAATGCAATGGAGAAAAAGTGCTAAGCCAGGAGTGAGGGCAGTCCAGCACACCTTCCCTCACCCCTTCGGCTCTGCCACCGCCTGTCTGGCTGCTTCAAAAAGCCCCCCTGATGGTGACCGACTGTGGTGTAGTGCTGGTCCCTGCCTGGAGCAGGACAGCTAGTGTTCTGTGTAGACAAAGCCCAGTAACATCTACCCCAGTACCTCTCCTGAGCAGCCTTGTCACTGGTATTCCTCATCATGGTTTGGATTCGGTCCACTCTCTTTGCCTCTAGCTTCTTCTTAATGTCTTTAATGTTGCTGTGGAGAGAAAAGAGTGCTGTGAGAGACAGGACTGCTTACAAACCCCAGAGACTGAAGCAGCCTTCCACATTTGCTCTCTGGAGGAGTGCTCTACTGTCCCAAAAAGCAAAGTTTGAGTGATTGTGCAGCAGAAAGCCCTACGTCTTAAGAGTATTTTAAGTCCTGTAACTTTTTTTAAAGGGAGTCATAACAAAGGGACAGCAGAAAACACGTGTTATAGAATTAGGTGGTATTGTACACCTACATTGGGTTCATCTGGAACAGCAGGAGACTTGCTGACAGTACTTACACTGCTAAATTGAAAAACAAAAAAAAAGGAAAAAGAAAAAGAAAAAAATGAAGGAACTAGATGTCTATAAAGTAGACCTAAAAAGAAGACCTGAGGCAAGCAGAAAGGTGCATAAACTATGGGATGTGACTTGCAAAGCAGAAACCATAAACACTTAAAAGGCATTTGATCAACCAGTAGGAAAGATGAAGAGAACAAAACCCAGAAAACCTAAGATCTGTGCCCAAGGCATATGTGGCCATCAGAAATGCTAACTGCAGGCCAGAGAACGTGACCAGCCAGACGGAGGAAGGCGTTAGCGTCAGGGCCTAAGAGGCTGCTGACAGACACACCACCAGTACCTCGTCTTGGCCATCCACCTACCAAATGATTACAAGAGGAGAGCTGCTAAGGGGGACAGAAGAGTAGCCGCCGGATTGTGGCCCGTCGGTCTGGTGTCCTGCCGCCAATGGCAGAAGGAGCGGATGATTAGGAGAAGTGTAAGAAAGAGAACAAGTGTAGGGTAATTTTCCCCCCCCTCCACCTTCCCAGTTTCCAGTCTATCCTCCAGCTTCTATACATTTATCTCCTATGAATGTCTCTCACACCTTGGAGTTCAGCTCTACTTTTGGACTTCATAGCTCCTTGCCCTTAGAGGAAAAGAACTTAATTTGTATGCTGTGTGACAGAAGTACTCCCTGAGAACTTCACTGGGTGCCCCACATTTCTTCTCTTATGAGAAACAGTGAGTAATCACTTCCCTATTCTTCTTCTCCATACCATTCATGATTTTACACACTTCTGTCACATCCCCCTCAATCATCTGTTCTCCAAGCTGAGTCCTATTTAATTTCTTTTTGTGCAAAAATTACTCCTCACTGCTGACTGTCCTTGCCACCCCCTTCTTGCTCTTTCAAAGCTTTTTGTTCAAGATGGCATACTGAAAAGGGGACTGCACTGTGGAGATAGATCTAGTGGCATAATGCTGACTTTGAATCTCTTTTTTTTTTTTTCCATACAATGCCAAAAATTCTATTTGCCACTTTGGCCACTGCAGGGCTGTGAACCATGAGCCGGTTGAGAGAGGTACCCACAGCAGCTGAAGAGCTCTTTCCTGAGTGACAGTAGCTCACCCCTGTGTACAGTTGAGCTATGGTTAGTTTTATTCCATTCACATTAGTTTGTATTTATTCGTACTGAATTTAACGGCCATTTTATTGCCTGTTGCTCAAGATCTTTAAATCTTTCTGGAGCTCCTCCCAGTCAGCTGTAGATGTGACTGTACTAAATGATGATATGTTGTTAGCAAACCATTACCTAGCTACTCAACCTGGTTTTCTTAGTCTTGTCTGAATATAGCTGAGAGAAACAGAGAATCTGTCTTGATGGAGGACATGAAAAGAGGAAGTTTTGCCTGACTTAGCAATGAAAGGCTGAGAGAGGATTTAATGGGAAGGAGAAACAAGTGAGGATTATAGCTTCAGGACAGAGTTGCTGCAAGAACAAATGGATAAATGCCTGCCTAGACATTGATGAATTGACTCTGCCAGTTTATTTATTTAAGTACTGGAGCCAAGATGCTTGATTCATTTAGGAGACTGAGCTGATCAGTCCCTGGAAGGGATTATATGTGATGTACTGACTACAGCAGATAGAGGTGACATCCAGTGACCAGCAGTCTTCTTTCCTATCTTTCTGAATTAGTCAATCAAGGCTGCTTACTGCAGCTTGAACGCCAGCACCCTGTTTGGTGCCCCGTGGCAGGAACGCTGTTCTGGAGATCAGAAGACAAGGGCTGTCTTCCCACCACTGCCACTGCATAACTGCGTGAGACCCTGCGTCACATCGCTGTGCCTCAGTTTCTCACCAAAGTAAAGGAAATGTTTCTCTTCCCCTGTATTCACTCACTGTCTGTAGTACAGCGCTTTGAGATCTAGCAGAAAAGTGCTACCCCAGCTAAGAGCTATGCATTATTACTTTGTTATTCAAACACTAAGTTTACCTTTCTGATGATTCCTTCAGTGCCTTCAGCTCAGCTGTCTGCTTCTCTCTGGCTATTTCTGTTATCTTGGTAACTTGCTGTTCAAGGGATGAAAACAAGATCAAAACCAAACCAAACCACAATGAGACAGAGCACACCATCCATAGCTAATTACCACCAGGCTGAGCGTTGCCCGCTGATGCACTGAATTGCAGGGACCAGCTCATCCGTGAGGGTTTGTATAGGTTAGACCAGCCAGTCTTGTAGGCAGCTTGCAAGGTACTTTTCAAGCCAAAGTGCACCAGGCAACCTGAGATTTAAGACATATGATGCAAACTCCTTTGGAAAATAATGATAGGAAAAGGCCTCCAAATGCTGGAATCATCCCCCTTTCATTGGAACAGATGGCATATGCCATATTTATTGCCACCATCGCGTGGACCGCACTTTGTCTCCAGGCATTACTGTGTCTCTTGTTGGCGTTTGCTTAAGGTGGGGAGTCACTGACACACTTGCAGGGCTCACTGGTGACACCTTATGTGGACACTTACTTTGACTTCTACTAAGTCAAACAGCAAAACACTTTCTAAATTTCAAGAGGAATGAGACCCAGCCCTGCTGTCAGTGCTAAGGGCTGGCCCGAGGAGTACTGTCCCTCACAAGGCTTTCATTTTATTGGCACAGATGCGGCAATGGCAAGCACCAAATGTGTTGGTGGGGCCGCTCTGTTCCCACACATCATCTGTCCTGGTGGAATGACAGTGGTGAGCATGCTTGCCCCTACCGTGTGTCTCTAGTGCTGTGATGGTTGCCACTGGTGAGCCTGCAGGGCTCCGACATACCTGTGTGTCACCCTCGCGCTGATGGTACAGCATCAGGCAGGGAGCCGTGAGAAGTGGGGTACAGCCTCATGTTCCCATGCTCCTACAGAGCCGGCGCCTGGCAGGGTCTGAAGCCAGGAGATGCCACGTTAACACCATAGAGTTTAAGCAGATGGGGCCTGATGTGCTCCACGGCAGTGCTTCTCAATGTTTTTTTTCAAATTGCAGACCTATAAAATGTTTCTGCTGGATTTTTATGGCTTCTAACAAATAAGTATCACTGCCTACATTCTCCACTATCTTGCATGGACCTGACAATTGTTCTGAGGGGCGTTTTCTGCCCTGTGGCCACATTTCCAAGCTCACAGTTTAGTGGAGAACTTGGTTTTCCAGGCTGCCCTTGCAGGCGCTCTCCTAGGCTACATTTTCTGTTGACACTTGCAGTCCTTACCTCTGTGGCATGCTGCTCCTTCTTTCTTCGAATCCCCTCGTGGTGTTCCTCCCCCAGGTGGATGAGGTCCATCTCCAGCCTCTCTCTCAGTTCCAAAACTCGGCTATCAATGCTTTCTGCCATTTCTACAGGATTTGCACATGTACCAACGTCACCTGTTGTCAAACTCCTGCAGAACAGATATGGCAGCTGTGCTGCTTCTAGAGATGCCAATACAATCCTGACCTTCCTACCCACCCCGCAGTGGGAACAGCCAACAGGCTATAAACCCAGGGAGATGTGGATGCCCACACCACTCCATGCTTCCTTCAGAGAAGGGGAGCCCATGTTTCTCTTGGGGATCCCTCTGCTTTGGCATGGGGAAGTGACTCACAGGCCAGGCCCTGCTGGAGACCCTGTGCTGTATTTACCTCTTCTTCTGGGTTTTCCTAGTGTGTATCATCTTTTTCTTCCCTCCATAGCAGACAGGCTCCGAAAAGAGTATGGAATATTTCTGCAGCAGCTCCTCCCTCCGTTTACTTCCCTTCCGCTCCAGCTCCCTCAGTTCTTTCTCCTGCTTCTTCAGCAGCTTCAGAAAGAGCTTCATCTGCTGCAGTTCTGCAAGGCTGGCTGTCTGCGGCTCTAAAATACAAAATAGAGAGGCTGTTTTCTCTCACACAGCATTTCTTAACCAGCTGTGATGCCTTTGGGGTCAGACAGGTTTTTTTCAGCACTGCTTTCATTCAGCTTTTCCTCCCTCTTTCCAGCATTACATGCAGCTCAGTTCAGTGTCTCGTGGATGCGTGGCACGGGGATGGCCAGAATTGCTGTCTTTTGGTATTTTGGCCAGAGGAACACACTGATGTGCCAGTCTGTCTGTCTGGTGTCTTGCACCCTTTTGCACAATTCTGAGTACCCCAAAGATAACACAAAGGGAAAAGCTTTGTTATTTTTTTTATTACTGATCTTTTTTTTGCAAAACTGAGTTACTGACAGGTGCTTTCATCCCTTCCAGTTTTAATGCCTGGCTTTTCTTCAGTTGTAAGGAATAAACGAAAGGGCTTTTGAGACAGATGAAAATGAGAGGGGAAGGATGCCTGTGAACTGTTGGAGAACTTGTTATCTGGCAGTAGCAAGTCAGTCAGATGTGGTTATCTGTGGCAGAAAGGCCACGGGGAGTTATCTTCTCGGGGAAGTAACTTTTTTTTTTGGCACAGAATGTGTAAAAACTATCAGAACTTGTGGGTGTGTCTGCAACAGAATGCTGTGCCATCTAGGGTCAACTCCTTCAAAAAGGCTGCTATTGAGGAAACTGAAGCGTACAGCTTAAATGCAAGCCTCTCAGTCAACAAGTCTAGACTCTCAAATTATAATCACATATTACGTGATGCCTTTTACCAGAGTACATATTTAAAGTAATCATAGCTCTGTCCTGGGGAACATCTTTCTTTAGGAATAACTTTTACAAACAAATCTTGAAGTACATAACAGTTACTTGGCAACATATCCTGAGTGCAACAGGTTTACTCTTGTGCCTTCAGTTCAGTTTTGTGGCATGATTAGGCACACTGGTTAGCAGTGTTTTGTCCTGCTTTGTATCACACTGCATTAAGATGGGTGAACAATACGTTATTACAGAGGCTGCATGTCTGCTGCAGACCCCCTGCAGCCACATTACCTCTGGTTTACTCAGGGTGAAGGAACCGTTGAATCTGGCCAGAGCAGAACTCCTGTGACAGCTCCAGCCTCCTACCTTGCTATAAAGTAAGGAGGGCTGCTGCAGCCAGTGGCCTCAGAGGGCTAAAGCTGGAGCAGTCCAAAGCTCTCCTGACCTACCTGTGCAGACGACAGTGGTCCAGCTTGCATAAGGCATGGACCATGGCAATTCCAAGCCTCTTTTCTCCTTGAGACCTGCTGTGAGCTCAGTCCCAGCCTAAGAGCTCGCCACACACCATGGCAGTCGTCAAAATGGGCAAATGGTGCCACAGGCAGGGAAACCGGGTCCCCAAGCCCAAAGATTCATGTGGCTTGTCTTTAGTGCTGGCTACAACAAGCAGGGTTGGGTCAGGTCTTTTTTAATTTGCAGAACAGGCTTCATCTCTATCCCAGTCAGAAACTGGGCAGAGAGGGACTGTAAGGTGACTGGCAGGGCCTCAGCCCACGTGAACCACATGAGAGGAGTTACCTGCAGTCTGCATCATTTCTGTCACATTTTCGTCCTTGACAAAAGCTGCTGCTCCTGAAATCACAAGAGAGGTTCCTGTTTATGTTCCATCTTGGATCTTCACGTTGAAAACAGACAGCGGAGAGCTCATCAAGAACAGGGGCCACATGAAAGATGTTGGTGTGAACACAAAGGAATTAATTAAGCTGCTGAGAAGCTTAAGTGCTTGGGAACTTTGTTAACAGGCACAGCAGAAAGGGAACAGGATTCTCTGCCCTGCCAGAGAAAAAGGGCATTTGCTTTGTATTAGCTGAATATTGCTAGTGATGATTTGGCACATAAGCTTGTTTTGATTAGGTGAGAAGGATGTTCTGATCTGAAATTTGAGAAAACTGATTGTTTTGATACCAACATACTTGAAAGGACACTAATCATGTTGATACAGTTAATATGGAATAAATACTGATTAGCTGCCAATTACTATAAAACACAATAGAAAAGAACGGGGTAATCTAAGTGTATGGTTGGGGACACGCTCTTACCTAACCTGAAATGACTCTATCAGTTAGTTTGTATTAGAAGCATGTTTGAGGAACATTCCTTCTGGCACTTTCACCAATACTACACCTTTAATGTTTGTTGGACATCTTGTTCTGTAAGGCCAAGAAGGTGCCAGTATGAAAGGAACAAACATACTGTTAGGAAGATCTTTCTCTGCTAGAGCTTCTTTAAACCTAGTAATAAATGCTGACTTTGTCTTTTGACTTCTATTAAAGCAAATCCCTAACTTTTTCTCAACTCATTTGACTGGTCAGAGTTAAGTAGTTTTTGCCCTTTTTATGTTAATGGGTTCCCATTTAATCTAGTGGTCAAAACACAAGGCTGTGCTCTTACTCCCACTCTTGCAGAATGGCAGATGTGGGATCTGTTCACTCTGAACCTGTAATGGATCTTATAAAATTCAGTATTCATCTGAGCTGATGAATAAAATTACTAATCTTTAAAGCTCCCAAGTATTATACAACTGGACTCTGGTGGAAGTGCAGTTTCACAAGATAAAAGAGTTTTCACGGGGATCTAAACATACTTAAAATGTCAGAAATCAATAGTAATCTACAGAAGAGACCCTTGAAAAGAACAAAGAGGTGAACAGCAGTGAGGTGTTACGGGATAAAACCAAGCCAGGGCTTAAAACTTTTGCCTCAGAAATATCCAGAATTATCTTGTCTTTGCTCAAAATCAATGTCCAACCTCCAATTTCACACTTAAGATAGAGGCTACATCTCTGCTACAGGCCATTCCTTCCTTGGACAGTGGTTGCCTCTTAATGCAGTTATCTCCCAGGGAACTCTGTGCTGAACCTGGAAAACTGAGGTCCTCTATCAGAGTCCTCAGCATAGGTGCAAGCTAGCACAGGAAACAGCAGTACAACCCCAGTGCATTAGCCCTGCCTTGGAGGGGAAAGACGATGTTCGTGCCAGTTGGACCTTCAGCTTGTTTCCTGGTGTTCTCAGCAGATACTCGAGATTACTTTTCTGTTGTGAAGTAAAAGCAGTGTGCAGGTCACACTCACTCCAGTCCAAGAGTCAGGGGATACTTACAACTTTTGCCATTAATGACAAGCACCAGAATTGAAGTTGGTGACTTGCCCTGAGAGGTTCCGACCCCATTACCAAGGATCTCCACCCACCAGCACTGTCTCTTTTCCAACCTTTTGAGCGTACAGACTTTCCCTTCTACTTTGAGCTCACCCCACATCCACAGCTTTACCTGCAGGCCCATTTGAAAGAGGAGTGCTGAATTTCCCAGTGGAATCTGGTATCCCGTTAGTTTCAGCAGGTGGGAAGGTCCTCTGTGTGCCAAGGCTCTAAAACAAAGATCAGAGGTAAACGAAAGCTCTATTATTTCAGGCTGAAACCATGCAACATGTTTTAGAGACAATGACAGAACTCGGAAAACTTACCTCCACCGAGCCATCTTTTAGCTTAACTGATCTCTTGTCTTGCAGACTGAAGAACTTAATGGGGTTGGAGAGAGCAATAGTCAGATCTAGAAACAAAGAAGAGGTCTTTGCTCGGGTTATCAAATAACTCATTTTACCCTGGTTTTCCTTGCCTTCTGGTTTTCTTTCTGGCCTAGGTGAGGAGATTGTGGAGAAGGGACTTCTGTATTCCCTACTTGTAACAAGCTTCTCCCTGACAGCACAGAGGGAGGGGACCATCTTTACCTCAGTCCCATTCTGAGGTGATGGCTCTCAGTTGATGTTTAAGGCAGCATTATGAAGCTGAAAAGAGCATACTGCTCCCAAAATCCAAAGCCAGGTTAAGACTTTCCTAACTTGCACAGCTCCCTGCTCCCGTTCCAGTACAATGCTATATAAACCTGGTCTTTTTTATGAATACTTGTTAAAACCATCAATTTCACAGGATTTCCCCCATGAATAAGGTTCATTTGTATGAACACAGGTGAAGAGAGAGTAAACATGAGAAGTATTCACAAGAAATTCTGTGACTGATGCTGTTACATTCTGCACAGCTTTGTTCACGACTGTTAAAAAGTTTTGCTGTTAATACCTCTAGTGGGGCTTCTTTCTTGATTCATCTCTCACTGTTTGACCATCCCCTTTTTAAAGGAAGATCACACTGTATCTTGGTACCAGCAAGAACCTCCCTCTTCTCTTCAAGCAGGGAAGAAGAACGCTCCTGTGCTCCCTAAAATCCTATTCTCATCAGTCCCTGATGGTTACCACCTCTTCACTCAAGGAAACCTCTCCCTGCCTCTGACTAGAAGCAGTACAAAGACTGACCCATTCCAAACCAGCGAGCCAGTTACACCTGCATGGCCCGTCAGGTGTGCGTGTCTCAGCCCGTACGGGGAACCCGTCACAGTCACAGTGCAAGCACCCCCTCGCTTCTGATGAAAGCAAGGGTGTGACAGGATGCGGGCACCCGCTCAAGTCCCACCCTGACAAGGAATTAAGGGTGCAGCAGGAAAGCAGCCCCTGGGCTGGAAAAATGCTTCCAGACCAATTCCCCCCCTCCCGCCTCCGCATTCTAATGCGTCCTACCTGCCCAAGCATCAGGAACATAGTCCTTTATTTCCAGGTACACAAACAGAGAAGGCATAGTGAGTGGCATGTTACTTTCACTGCGGAGACAAATGTGGTGATAGCCTGAAAACAGAAAGCAGAGGAGGTAAACTGACAGAATCTCTGTGCCTTCTTGTCTGTGTGCTCCAACAGCAAAACAACGTCGCTCTTTACAGAAGGGCGTAGTGGATATATTAGGGAATTAAGCCTATAACAGGATGAATTTGAAGGCTCCACTGCCTACAGGGATGGGGATTAAGTAGCAAAATATGCAGACGTGTGTATCTTCTTTACAGTTTCCAACCGATAGGTCTCAAGGGTACAAAAGCTGAAGGAATTTCCACAAAATTTACCTGAGTGCACTGCAGTAACGGGAATGACACGATGACCAATGAACTTCCCTCCTTCCTCCCAAGCCACAATTTTGAGAGACGCCAACTCGGGCATCATGATCTAAGGAAAAAACAGAGTAAGGCACCAGTGTCCTCACCTCTAACTCCTAACAGCATACTAGCTTCACTAAGTAGAACTTTACTCTCTCCTCCTTCCAACAAAACACCACCATCTCTCCAAGGAAGTCACTTGCCTACTTCTGCATCTTGCAATTTAAGGCTACAGTTTATCACAGACGTAACTGAATTCACAGAAACTCCACAAAACATGGGCTTCTCAGAGGAGAGACTGCACAGGATCACAGGGGGGCAGTCCACCTAAAGAAAAAATGGGGCAACAAACCCTCCAAACCACAGCTTCCGTAAGGCAATTCACCAGAGAAGGGAATGAACTTGGAAGGACAATTTAGCAAGTGTGGTAACTTTGCCAGAAGGGGTCTTGCCTCTCTCCTCCCCCACTTTCTTCTGCCATAAAATGAACTAAAAATTATTCTGCCAGAACTGAAGCCTGAAAATTGTTTTCTGAAATGAGGACAGTATTTATCTACCACATCCCAAGTAGGCTGAAAATATCTGCTATTTCACAGTGTGCTTGACAGAGATGAATTGTGTAACATGTATTTTGCCTTTGTAACTTACTGCAGGAAGGCCAAACATTACTATTGCCTTTGACTTAACTTTCCCATACCCTATAGCTGGATTAGTGACCACTGAATTCTTGTGGACAAACAGGGAAGCTTTCCATATTCTGGCACAACTGAAAGCCTCCCTCTGGTCTCATTACTTCTCCAGTTTGTCTGCTTCTCATGTCTAACCACAGAGATTCAAGTTCCTTTCTGCGTCCTAGTGTTTGAAGTTTTCCAAGCTGATTAGTCAATTCAGTCTGAAGTGCATCACGAATGGGAGACTTTTGATGCCTGTTATTTCCAGAAATGTTCCCAGCCACCCCTTGTCTGTTCAGGGGAATATTGGTGGAGAGTTGTTTTGGATATTGTTGTTTGAATATTATCCGAGAGCACAAAAGTGTGTAAAGTCGTGACCAAGATCTCCAGAAGGGAGACCCTTCTGTTGTCACTGACCTCTCAAGAGGCAGCACTTGTGGTGGTCCACAGGATCTTTAAGGATTCTCTCTCTAAATTACTATCAAATATTATTACCTTTTCAAAAACAAAAGCCTCCTCTTTCCATACAGGGTTAATGGAATTGGCAGTGGAGGTCAGTTTGGTTCTGTATTTGCGTTTTGTGTCCCTTGGCAACCCAAACAGCTCTACTTCCACATATGTCTTCACACTGCGGTCGGAGAGGAACTGACCAGAGAGTATCTACAAACAAGCAGAAACACAATTAGCAACTGCTGAAAAGAATAAAACAGAAGAACCCACCCATACCTTCACCCTAAGGGCACTCTCCCACCCCAAAACATCTTTTCTGCTGAAGCTTCCAATCCACAACAGGCTTTTCTTTTACCTCCACCCATGTTTCTTGCTTCAGCACTTCCTCCAACGTCCTCCCTCCCCATCAGCACAGCCTTGGCTTCTTCTGTGTGGCAGATGCTAATTTTCCATTTTCATGCGATTATGATTAATTTAAAATAGTGAAAAGACTGGGAGTTGCCATGGTAACACTCCCCTACAGGACTCTCTGGGTTTGTTTGCTCCTAAGAACCCTACTGGGTAACAAATAGTGGGGACATAGATGCCAGTTATATACGTGGTGCCAGGAGCTGGCTGTCAGGGGAGGAACAGCACCATGGTTTGTACTTGCCGTGACAGACAGGGTACTCGCCACCACCACATCAATGCGGTCCACAGAGAAGGGGTCAAACTGCTTGTCCGGACGCCGCATGAATTCATGCTTGAGCAGATAGCCGCACTGGCCGTTGAACTCAAACAGAGCCATGTTCTGCTGCATGGGGACATCTGAGATGCAGAAGAACACAATGAGAGAAATTTCATGGGACCTCATCAGGTCTTTTGCATGCTAGGAGCGAGCTGAAAGATGCTATACGTTTATAGCCCCTGCTAGCCGAAGGCTCACAAAGCCATTTCAAAAACTAATTAAGCCTCTCAGCACCCTACAGGGAAAAATATTATAGCAGCTGTTGTAAGAAAGGTAAGTGGTTTGCTTATGATTGCACCATAAGTCATGGGCAGAACTAAATTAAAACCTACTTTAAGAAGGACCCACTATTTTTGGGTGTGAAGTAAGTAGATGTCTGAACCCCTCTACTCCTTCCCCCTTTCATCTTGGGCCTCCTTTCAGTCCATCTTCTCCTCTGCCACTCCTGTTGAGAACACTGTCTTGTGGGTTCTGCACCTGTCTTCAATATGATATCCTCTTCATAACCAGCCTCTCACTCTCTCCCTTTTAAAGTTGCTTCTTTTTTTCTCCTACCGATTCTACAGCTAGTCTCCTACACTCTCTATACGTAAGACACTCCTCTGAGGACGGAAGAGGGGTAAAGAATAGCTTTCTCTGGAGGCTTTGCTTTCCTTCTTACACTGGCTGTGCAGCAAGGAAAGGCCCTTCTTCCCTGTTCCGGTCAAAATTCCGGAAATAATAGCATAGACAGGCCAGTCCTGTAGGCAGATGGAGCTTGGCCTGCTGCCTTGCAAAAGAGGAAGCAACCTGGGGGAAGCGGGAGCTTCTGATGCATTCATGCACAGTATTTAGCCTGACATCACCTTACAGGACAGCCAGAGATGGTACCCAGACACTAGATGACAGCAACTCCACCTATGCGTGTATGCACAAGGGTGTAGGACCGGCATCCCAGACACTGTATGCCAGGTTTGTGCTGGGCCTAGGAAAGTGCTTTTGGTCTGTGGGAGACGGAGTCAAAGAACACCACTACTTTGGGAGAAGGCACACAGAATAAATGCATTCAGGGAAACAGCAGCAGTAGGAAATAGCAGCAAAGGAAGAGACAGCGAACACGAGCATGCAGCCTCGCCCACTTGGAAGGTGGAGGACAACGCAACACTCACCCATGGTCTGGAAGTTGAGTGCCACCATCTGACAGCCGACGTTCCAGAACATCTGGGGCATGTAATTAGAGGAGTCCATCCGGGTGCCTTTGGGGTAAATCCGGCTCATCTGTCTCTTGTTATATCTACAGTTGCTCTATTGGAAACAAGTCTGGAGCGCTCCTTGTATACCCTGGGGCTAGCTCACGTATTCAGATTATGAAAATTGTTTAAGCTCTGCTACCAAATGCTCAGAGCCTTCCAGACAAGACATAAGAAAGGCCCTGGCAACAACAGGTTCCTTTCCACTTAAGGACAAGCATCTGGCAGCCTGGGCATTCACTACAGCAGGATGCATCCTGTCAAGAATCTCTCTGAACGGCTCCCAAGCCACCCTGGAAGATCCTGTGTCTCTAGCACCTCCCCAGTTTCTATCTCTGATGAAGAGTTTACCAGGTCCTGAAACCAGAAGCCAGTTGGATATGCCTCACCCTTACCCAAGCTTCAGATTAGCTCTTGTACTCCATACAACCAACTGCATTGGACAAAGGTTGCCAAAAGGATACTCTACAAACTGCACAGGGAACTTCGTTAGTAGATCATAAGCCTTCAACTCGGTGAAGGAAGAGATGACGTAACTCCGGTTCTTCTCTAGAAACAGGAGATAAGCATTTAGAAGAAAGGCATGCCCAGTCCCCCATTCCGTGTGTGTGGACCAATGGACCCAGGAAGCACTTGGCCTCTTTACTCCCACTTACTACCAGGTATCGTTTTCTGTCAAAGCAATTTACCTCTCTTGAGTCCCTTGAAAAGGGACTGAAGGATAATACTCCATAAAAGGTGATTTATGTTTACCAGGGAGACAACGGTTGTGTACTACAGGACAGGAACTTCACGGAGTACAGACAGGATGGTCTCGCAAAGCTTAAACAGCAATAATTTTCCCATCTCTTCCTCGATTGCAGTGACATTTAGAGAATAGCTCCTGCCTGGAGTTTTAGTTCCAAGTGAATCCAAATATGCAAAGTCTTGACCAAAGTTCTTTATTTTGTCAAGTTTCCCCTTCTTTACTCCCCAATTTTTTCTTTTTCTTTTCTTTCTTTCATCAATTAAACCAGCTCAAAGCTAGGCCCAAATGCAGGAACTGTTTAGAGGAACCTATCGTGTATAAAGAAATTGCATGCATTTTCAGTTTTTCAGATGTTTCTCTGTCCAGTCACCACAGAAGAGGAAGGCCAGTCACATACATTAAGAAAAGCTGGGCTCAATCCTGCCCTCAGAAGCACCAAAGCAAGGCCACAGAGACGTCACTGGCCTCCCTCTAGGCTTTTCATCCTCACTCATATAACTGGGAGCACTGTCTGACATCTCCCTGTCTTCTCCTTACCAATTCCTTACTACAGGGAGGAAGGCAGAAGGGAAGTGTTTGAGACCATGCACATGTTGTGAGAGAGAGAGAACACACCAGAAAATGAGTGAAAGTAAGTCACAAAGGCAGGTGGAGAACAGCAGCATCTGAAAGCACTACTCTCCTGGTCAAATGGAAATACTTGGGATTCTGAAAGGGCTGAGTTTGACTTACGGGCAGAGACTTCAAAGGAGTCAAATTTGATAGGCTGTATGTAATTAACGAGGCTGGACATTTCCTCATACGCTGTCACTTCCAAACCAGCAGTGCCCTGAGCAGAAAACAAAACCCAAGAGAAGACAGATGAGGAGACCTTTCCTAGAGATGAAACAAAACACACCTGGGCTTCACGATCAAAGAACTCTGGTGGCTGCCCTGACCAGAGCGCACCAGCTTCTTTGGCTTCCTGGTCCTACAGTTACGTTGTCAGCAGCATAGTCAGGGGCACACAGTTTCCAGTTAGCGTGGAAAAAACTGAAACTGAGGCATACGGAGAGGTATCAGTCAGTATGTAAGAAGCCCCGGACCGCTTTAACCTCTCAAAGCACCGAGTCTGGGACAAGCCAGGGACATTGTTTTCCCTTCTCTCTGAGTGACACCAGGGAGACAGAAATGGAAAATGTTTGTGTTTTTTTTTTAATTTATTCAAGGAAATACTGATGTTCTCCTTTCCCCTTCAGCAGCAGCACTTCACGTTTTGGTAACAACTTTTATCAGACTAAGGCTAAGCCTCTCCAAACACCCTCAAGGCAGACAGTTATCTCCAAATCATGCAGAATATCAAAGGCAGAGTCAGAAATAGTAACTCTTGTGCCATATTCTCTATGCTTGCAACATCATTTCTCTTATTCAGTTTCTCCTGCAAAAGTTGTGTTGCATGGGGGAAGGAAAGCCTCCGATTGGTCATAGCACATTTCACTCCCCTTTGCATTCTGGGTTCATCTCTATTCACTATGGTGAGGCCCCAGAGAAAAGGCCAGGAAAAAAAACGAACACACAACAGAAAAGGAACAGAAACAACAGTGACAGTACCTCATCTGACTGCATCTTTTTAATTTCCTCTTCATCCAGGTTTCTGAGATGTTCATCCTCTTCCTCTGGTTCCTCTTCAGCCACATCACCTGCCCAGACTAAGCACACGCAGCCCACATCAGCAGTACGTATCAGTAGCACACCGAGACAAGACATTGCAGACTGCTAGCAATGGAGAGCTCTGCAAAACCTCACAATCAAGTCAGGCAGGAACAATAAGTGGAAGAATCATACAGTTTTATTAGCCAATCCAAATATGAACGGGCACACTCAAGAGACCAAATCATTCCTCCTGCAGGCTTCCCTCATACCCCAAAAGTGACAATCACAGTGCTGTTTTCCCCACCGTGGTCACACACACTCGTGGCAATAAATGTCCATTTCTAGGTGCTCTGTAGTGGCGCTCACCTTGTCTTCATATGACTTCATGTGCTCCTACCATGACAGGGACTGAAAATTCACCATTCTACCACAGGTTCCCTGAGCCCAAGAGGTGACAGCTTGAGACTGGATGAAGGGAGGAGAGTGGGGCTGAAGGTTCAAGAACCTCAGGGTGAAGAGCTAGGCCATAGTGAATTTGTGGTTATCAGAGAGCTACAAGCAGTAAAAAATTATCCACCCTTCCATCACACCAACAGCCAGTGTGTATCAACAAATTACCAACTCATGCAGCCATATGCCTCAGAGGAGGCAAAGAGTTGGCTGATGGGCAGGGCGTAAGTTGATTGTCTCTTTTGGTTGGAATGAAGTGTTTGAAAATATTCTGAAGATTTAATTTCTCTTCCAAGCTTATGCTGCTTCTTGAGATAACTGGATTAATGACTAGTACTGGCTTGTCTCAAGCTAGTATTGGGTGATTTGGAAGGTCTCCAGTGGGCCAGACTTGCTCATCTAGCTATACTAGTCCCATTTTCCCTTCAGACATACCAGTATCATCCACAGGGGCTGGCTGCTCGATGATTTCTGGTTCCACATTCCTTCCTTTCTTCAAAGAGTTCTGCCTCTTCCCAGATATAGATTCGTTCTTTTTGTTCTTAATCAAGATTTTCCCTAAGAGATCCTTAGGACTTGGCAAAGGAACTCCTGGCTTCAGCTGCAACAGATAAACTTCAATCTGAATTTTCATCACAAAGACCAAATTCAAACACTCATCTCTCCTGTCCCTCCCAGTACCATTTCTCTGGCCATTTACTGGTCCATGGACACATCTCTTGCCCACTATATACTTTAGTATCTCCATCTGCAAGCATATCCTGCTATATCTATGCAGATTTTTTTTTAAGATTTCACTTTTGGTTTCAGACCAGCATTTTGCACCTCTCAGCCCTCTCACGTTCTGCTGCCTGCACATGCCATGCTGTTCCCGGCCACCTATCCTGCACCACAGCTAAAAAACCATCTAGGGGCCTGAAGGCATCCACACCCCTCTGGCTTTCACATTCCACCTCCTTCTCTCATTATCCCAGAGCCTCCGGCCTAGATCAGCTCTCAGGCCATATTTAAACACTGCCTGCAGCAGAGTTGAAAAAAGATCTCAGAGTAGGTGGCTCAAGCCAAGGACGTGTGACTCGGTGCTTCCAGATCTCCACTCCCTGTACAGACAGTAACAGGCCTATTAATAAGTTAGCTAATACCCTGAACTGTTTCTCCCCACACACCCCCTGTTTCTCCTGGTTGCCTGGACAAGGACATGGGTCTGGACAGTGAGCAACTGCCAATTTGCTCACTGCTTCTTTTCAGCTCTTCTTTTGATCTCAGTGCTTTAAAACAGATGCTTGGGCTCAGTGTCTCAGCTCCCCCCTCCACTACATACCCCAAGGAACTGCCTCATGCTTTGCAGAACACAGGCACTGCCCATTATTTGTAAACCGGTGTCCATTCGCAAGGCAGCTGAAGTAGCAATGTGCATGGGGATCGCCGAAGATGTCACTGTGTCCACAAAAACACATGCTTGTACAAGTAAGCCAATGACTAGGGGGTCAAGCAGATTGGGAGCTTTACTCAGCTATTCTGAGCACAAAGCTATGCATGTCACTGACCTGCCCACCAATGCCTGGAAGGGAATATTTTCAGGAATGGAGAAGCATTGGTAGGAAGAGCCTGAAATGCTACTAAGCCCTTGTTCCTGTTTCTTTCCAAAGCAAGTGGTGGCAGACAGATTGGAGACAGCACCGTGTACAAAAATACACTGACTTGTCTTGGTACAACTGGTACGACTTGGCTACCTAGAGCTCAGTTTCCAAAGTCACTCAAGTCACAGAGTGTTAAATAAGAGCAGAGTCAGGCAAGTACTCAGGAAAACCTCTGCAACTTAGAGGTCTTCCATCCACTTACTATGTTGCTCATCCCTATGAACCAGGCTTATTTGTCCACAGCATGATCCTCTCTTTCTCTGTCCTTGTATCTGTTGTGGCATTTCCTAGCACCAGGAGTGACCAGTTTTTTCAGAACGACCTCTCCACCAGCCTCTTTCCCCAACTTCCACTTACCGGGTATTTTTCCAGCGGTTCTGTCAGCAGCATATCTCCAAATATGGTTCGGCAGTACTCAGCCATCTTTGCCTGCTGCTTGGGCCTAATGAACAAACAGATCAAGCAGGAGTGAACAGGAAAACTGATGCCCAAATCCAGAGCTTAGCATGAACAACCATCTCGAGATCCATGTACTCTACCCAGAAAATCATCTCTTGCCTTTATTCAGACAGCTATCCAGATCTTGGAAGTCTCTTCCCAGGCCAACTCCATTTGTTCATACTCTGCCATCCCAAGCTACAAGGCTGCACAACTGTGATCACTCTCACTCTGCAGCTTATGGCTCGTCTTTCAGCTCTGAACCACGTCCAGTTGCTTCAGAAATCTCAACTGATGCTTCATTTCAGCTCAGGCACTCAATTAAAACCCAGCAGCCCTTGCCTGTATACTTTCTGCTCTGGACAACAGAGAACACAATCCTCCCAACCACTAGATACTCACGAGTCCACATGGTTCTCAAAGGACAGGATGACAGGGTAGAGAGAGGTTTTAAAAGCACTTTCTGCGATGGCCTCAATGGCATCCTAAATGAGGGGCAACAGTCAGAGAAAAGATCAGCGCTCATTAGTAACAGAGACATGCAGCTGACCTCCCACTGAATGGACTCCAAACCTGTCATTGTCAGGAGCTTCTCTTTAATTAAAGTTCTCCCAGTAAGAACGTGAGAAGTGTCATCTTTTTCATACCCGCCCGGATTTCCAGCTCCAGAGGATACAACATGCAGCTAAACTCAATACCTTGCATAAAAAATGAAGCTGAATATGTAAGAATATGAATTTTTGTTTTTGTTACACAGTTCAGTGTATACATAAATGGATGTGAAAGGGTCTTGCCAGAGAGGCAAGCCACTGCCACATGCACTTTGAATTGGTAAAGAAAGGTGCATGCAGCACCAGATTAAACTTCTTCAAACTCTATTTATACTTACCTCTGAACCTGTCCAATTTTCTATCATTTCACCTGCTTATAAAATCCTTCTGTCTAGCAGCAGAGAAAACTGGAATGTTCAGTAACCAGCAGTGCTGACATTTCAAATGCAAATACCATGGAAACGTTCTCAGCATTAATGATGCAAGAAAAAATAATCGTATTTTCCCCAAGCCCCTCTTAAAATGCCACAAACTTTCCACCATTTTATTTTCTGGTGCTGCTAATCGACATGGTAAAGAAGTGTCATTTGCTCCTTTGCAATTACAGTTCCTGACTCCCACAAAAATCCTGGTTCAGCCCTGATCTTAGCACTGAGGGAGGCTGCCACAGCTGCTCCTCCATGGACCACTTGGACTCTCTATCAGAAACCTGCAAGGTTCAGAGGAAGAGAAGCTACAGAAAAAGCTACTAAAAGGCCACAGGCAATGGTAGAAAAGGGAGAGAGGTGTGGAGGGAAAGATGGACGTATTATGACTCTGCAATTACAGCAGCTACAGCTGTCGTTATTTCTCCTGTCTGTAGTGAACTACTGTGCAAAAAGCAGCAGTGGTACTACAGTATTTGGGAAATTACTGACACTGAATATGACAATACCTCTGATCTTAAGGATTGGGGGTCTTTTCCCCCCACATAAATATTTTAGTAATAGTGAAGCGTGGGAACCAGGGGGAAGAGACGGAATAAGAATAAATAGCTTTAAAAAGAATCTGAAGTGTCTCTGCCTGTTGGCAGCAGCTGTGTAAAGGAGCGCAGAAAAAACAAGTGTGATGCATTGATTTTTAACCTGCAAGCTGTTTGTAACTTCTGTGGTTAAATGCCCTGTATTTCCAAGGGAGCAGTAGGCTCTGGGCTGTGCTTCTGAAGCCTGGGGGCTGAATCCTGAGGGAAGCCATCTGCCCAGCATGCTAGAGGGCATTTGCTCCTCTGAACACATTCCACATTCTCATGTAATTAGGAAGTAACTGAAACCTGTTCCTCCAAAGCACCACCATGTGAGGCTGTAAGCCACAGAAACCTGCTGTACACCAGTTAGAAGTTAAACTCGTTTTAACTGTTTGTTTTCTAAAAGCCATCTTGTTTGTTTCTCTGATGTACATTTATCTATAAATCCACCATCCTTGTGCAACTTTCTGTCCATACACCCATCTTGCTACGCAGCTCTGTGTCTGCAGGCACATCTACTCAACCATCTCTCCATCGCTTCTACCCGACTGTCTGCATTTCCCTCATTCATTCAGCTGACCTCCTCTCTTCTGGTCCTCCCACTCAAAAAAATGTACACAAGCTCCAACTCATTGCATATTTGTTCATCTTTCATTCCATCTACACATTCATTCACTTGTCATCTTGCCATCAATCTTTTCCTCTCAAACATCTTTGCCCTCAGCCCATCTATTTGACAGTTCCCTCAGCCAGCCTCCTCAAACAGAGATCAGTCTAAAACCAAGCAGGGGAAAGCATGTATGGGGAAAACTCTTTCCATACCTTGAAGAGGATCTCAGTTGTCATGGTGAACCCGTGAGTGATGATGGGCTCCTCATCCGGGGGCCGGCCCTTCCAGCAATCCAGCTCCACGCAGCGGCAGCCAGCCAGCAGCGCCTGGCGATACATTTCAGGAGACGAGATACCAGAAAACTGACCAGCTGGAGGAGAGCAGAAGGAGGAAGGCTCGACATCAGCTATTCACGGGGGACAGTTTCCACATAAACTGGAGCAACAGAACTCTCTGCCATCCTTGAGCAGGTGTATGTGGCAGACTGACAGGATGTTTTTGGTTACAGGGTGACATTTCTTCTTCTTACACAGCATTTATGTGCAAAGCCCCTCAGAGTGCATTACAGCCCTCAGCCCTCCAAACTTCTGGGCAGATATACCTGCCCGACTGATGCCAGTATCATTCATCCATCCCCTGTAGTGGTACATATGCCTTGGAGCTGAGGCAGACTCTGGAACTGCCCATACCTGTTAAGTACGTGTTGTGTGATGAATTGATGAAGTAGTGTGAGAGCGGCTGGGTCATGTCCTGGTACAGCACCAATTTGTCCAGTGCTATCACATTGTTCTCAGGGCCACAGAGAAACCAGACCATCCCCTCTGGAGACAGCTGCCCTACACGGAAAACAAAGCTGTTAGCAGTACTGAAACAAAATGGTTCTGGCACCTCCTTGCCAGTACATTGCAACACAGGGACTTGTAAGAATCAGGGAGCTGATTGCTCCCCTGGGAAAGTCAGGGTAGCAGAAGGCGCGAGATCCTCTGCTATTTTCATACTACCTCTCTGGCAAGACTTTTGGGCTGAATGAGACTCACCTCTCTGGATGTTAATCCCACTGGGCTCATACTTCTCTATCAGGCTCTGCACCTGCTCGGGTTTGGCTGGTGGAAAAAGGATGTCATTGAGGCGAGAGTCTCGCTGCTTCTTGTTGATAAACTTTGCCAAGTGTTCTTTGGTCATGTAGGGCTTTGCTTTTAAATGGCTAAGGTGAGAGAATTACAGAGGAGCAAAGGTAAGGCCTGTGTACTACCCAGAAAACCTTTTCACAAAAGAGAGACTGGTCCTTCCTCAGATTAGTAATGGGTGTCCGCCTCCCTGGGTCCACACATTTGTGTTTCTTCTACATTTTTTCCTGTAAATGATGCTTCCCACTGTGGCCTTTCCTCTTCCTCACTAATTCAGTACTGTGAAGGGGTTGTACTGAGGAGAGCACAAAGCATATTTGGAGCCTCTGACTCGAACTCTAAAGGGACTTGAATTTCAGAGCACACTGAATTGCTTGCACTACGAAATCCAGTCCATTCAAGAAGTTACAGATTTAGCTACTTGAAAAAAAAATAGAAGTCACTGGCAACTTGTGAGGATCTATGGTTCTCATGCTGTACATGGCCTTGTTTGGGGCTAGCCACAATATCACATTAGTGTGATCTAGTGTTGAGCTGGAATCAGCCCTCCTGTTGGTGACAGGTGAGAGTCCCTGCAGCACCGTGAGGTCTCATCCTTTTTATTCAGGCTGTGAGTGAAAGTGTTAAGTGCACTGGCACTGTTTTGTGACCTGGGTTCCTGCCCTTCTAAGGCTTGAGACCAGACAAACCACATAGCATAAAGTCCCCTCGCCCCTCCTTTTTGCCTATCTTTTGCCACAAGAGATCAAGTTCTCTTCTGTGGCTTGAGGGAAACTTACTGTGAGGTAAATATCTCATCAATCTCAGGCCGTGGACACAAATTCATGAGGAAAGTTTTATACACGGTTTCAGGGAAGTCCTCTGGGTTGATGGCATCATTCTGAGAATGCAATAAAGACACATCAGTATCACAAACCCATGAGGGCTTTCACCTCTTTCTCCATTCACACCTGCAGTCCAGCACTTGTTTGTGACAATGCAAATAAGTGACTGGAACATCTGGCAAGGCGTTTAGGAAAGAAGATGGAGCGGAGAAGCACCACAGCACCCTATTTCAGAACGGAGAGTTATTTAAACAGTCCCTAGGTGCCTCTTGTGTGATGGTATAAAGCTAAAGCTTGATACAGTGGTAGGAGCTGTCAGAGGCTTGGATTGTGTTCTGCGGGTTGGTAGAAGCGTCAAGATTAACTGTCAGATCTGTTGCTTCAAAGGGCAGACAGTGAAACAGGCGGAAGGGAACGTGCTGCTTCTTGTGCCACACAGTGCAAGTGATGGAGTCGCAAGCGTTACTGCAATACAAACAGCAAGAATCGATCCTAGCAGGCGTGCAGTTAAGGCATGGCAGCTAGTGGTAAGGAAAAGGTTTCACAGCAACTAGGAGCATTTGGGCTGATGATTTTTTTCCATGGCCAAGGACACCACAGTCAAGGTAGGCAAAACAATTATTCTCAAACTAGCGAGACCCTTACCTTGCCCTTTGGAAGATGACAAGCACTTAATGCTGCTTCCACCCTCTTCCTGTCTGCAGGAAACATCTGAAAAATACTGACCAGATAGGGAAAAAAGAAATCAGCACAATGTAGCAGGAGTGAAGTCAGAAAGCCTGGGTTTGGGTGGCTGGGAGCTGCAGCCAGAGTGCAAGACACTCAAAATGCACAGTGAAGGAGACTGACAAGAAGACTGTAACCATGAACCAGAGAAGAAAGACTGTGTCTCTCCAAGGGAATAACTGATGTACCAAGTCTTATAAACCTACAGTGGATTTTTTGACTGTTGCCTTCATACACAAGTTCTGTATTTCTGCTATGGATTCTCTAAGAGCCCTGTCACTGAACTGCATCCGCTTACTCTCAAAATCCCTCTTCACTGTCCTTGCCCTACCCCTCTTGGAGGTGCCCGCCGTGGAAGCAGCCCTCCTGCCACAAATTCCCGGGGACACTTTCCCCGACGAGACACTATCCCATGCGGTAGCTGGCATTAGCGAGGAATAACTTTGTAGTAAAGACAACACTCATAAAAAGCAAATGAACATTGTGCATGCTTGCTGGCTTGAAAGACGACAAAATTTTCTCGAACCAAAGGCTTTCTGTGAATTTACATTACACAGGCAAAGACGCTGGTATACTACAAGATGGAAGCACAAAGGTCTGCTGCTGCAGGAACCAAAGGTCCCCTCCAGTTTGGAAAGCTGGGTACTGGTCTGCAGGGCAGAATTCACTTGGTTAAGCCTTCAGCTTAAAGCAGCCTCTTTGCTGCACAATGAAATAGTAACAATAACTGAACTCTCCCTACTTTCAGCATATCCCAGCCAGCAGCAACGAGGTCTCCTCAGTGGATAAATTTAGATGTCAGCTCTGTTAAGCTCCTGGCATTGCAGCTGCTCACAGCCAGAAAGGGGAACAAAAAGTGCCAAATGTGTTGACAGGTGGAAAAGTGTTCAGTGGGAGCTGCAGCAGACTTATGCAAACTCAGGGCATATCGGTTCCCAAGCTGCCCTTTGCAAGGCAAAAATTGCAGCAGCCTTGTCATGATTCAAAGGGGATTTAAATGTCTAAAGAGAGAGGCAGATGCTCCGTGGAATTTTCAGAATTCAGACATGGAGTTTTGATAGCCTTATGTACACCTGCACCTGGAGATACTGAATAGTTTTATAACTCTGGATCTTAATCTGGGCCATTTAACAGTCTAATGCTTTACACAGTAAAGCATTTTTACCACTCTGCAAGAAAGACAGACCAGGGCATTGGAGAGAGGTACAGCCCGTACCAGATATTTTTTCTAGCTTATTTCAGAAGAATAAGCTGTTTTCTCTCTGCAGTAATGCTACCTTGCTTGCATTTTAAAGATCAATTCAAAGTACTCTTCCCTAGTGTGAGTTATTCATTAAAGATCTATACATTTTTAAAAGCCCTTTGATGAATACACTGGTTTCTGACAGAATGAAATTGTGCTGGTTGGTGGTTTAGAAAACAAACAACAAAAAAACGTTTATTATTGAATAATGATCAGCCATCCAGGAGCCCATTTAGCCAGCATAGACTTACTCTAGAATCGTTACGCAATATAGCACACAGTAGGCAGCATATTTATTACAGGTGATTAGCACTTGCCTGTTGTGATGCTATAACACAGCATAAACCTAGAAGCAAAGTGGTTTAAACTTCCTATTGAATACCCACAAATGCACAATCTGCAGGTCCTTATTCTTAAAACAAAAGATAATTTATGCACCCGAAAGGGAATTCAACATGGCAGCGCAGCCTTCTGTCACTCATTCATGAGCTGAATCAACATGGAAGAGCCATAGCATCAGCCATGGAGTGATTTTACTGGGGAAGACACTGAGTGGCACAAAATCAATTCTAGATTTATGCCATGCAGTGCAGGGGAAAAATAATGGGCTGGTCTTTGCTTCAGCAAAAGATGAACGCAGACCGTGGCTTATTCTAATGGCAGTCCTACCCTGATGCCCAAGGCCAACCCTGGGGATAGTGAAGGGCAAGTCTCCACTGTTCTGTAGGTGAACCAGCACTGACATTGGCCCAGAGATCTGCCCTCAAACGCTGTTTCCCTCTCTCACACATCCAGAGTAAAGACTGAGGGCAGCGTGGAGAACTGCTGTAGTGGTCACAGGTGAAGAAAGGAGACAAGCAAAAGCAATGGACCCCTACTTCAGGCTAACTGGGGAGTCAAGCAAAAAAGTTCTCCAAATACAGAACTCCTTATATGACAGGTAAAATGAGTCCCATGCCTCATCCACCTTTCAACTCAGGTTTGCAAAAATAAGCTGTCACAACAATTTTACTGAAGTTGCTTGGTTTTGTTGATCTATTTCTTGGCAACAGCCAGGAAGTGGAATCCATGGCTGTTTAAAGCAATATCTTGCTGTAGATGAAGGCCACAAAAGGTCTCCTTTCCAGACCCAAATTATGTCCCAGGCCCTTCCTTGGGAGGAACCTAGGTGCAGCAGGAGTCCTTTCATGGCCTGAATCCAGAGGCAATGCTCTCTGCCTCTGAGCTGCAGAAAGAGCAGGCACCTGAAGCCATTGGGCAACCATCCTCTTACCAGCTGCTCTGCCTTTAGGCTGACTGAACACACAATAAAACAAATATCCACACTCACTTCCTGACAGGAATCTTCCCCTCTGCATTAAGCTGCATCTTCAGCTTCACCAGGCTGTGGAAAAAAACCCAAGATTATGAAAATGCACTTGTACAATCTTAGAGGTCTTATTAAGTAAGGAGAAAGAAAAAATATGCAGTCAGGAAAACAATCCAACAGTTAACTGAAAATCAGGGTCCTACAGACCGTCAGCTTAACCTTAGACAGAACCTGTTCCTGTTTCTTGGGAAGGAGAAACAGGCAAATTGTAAGAGCTTAGATATCAGAAAGATTCCTCTGAAACACATGATGTAGATGTGAGATAATGGTATCTCCTATTATTTAGCATTCCTCAGCGATCCCAGCTTGCCAGCCAAACAGTATTACAGGGCAAAGAAAAAGAGGCAGCACGTTGTTGGGGTAAGTGTTGTGATGGCAGTGGGAGACACATTTGAGGCTCAGAATTTCGGTTTGTGCAATACCACGTGTGTGTTTGACTGGCTCAAGCCCTTCTGTGCCAGTCAGTTGTCATGCAACATATGGCCCAAGTACCAACCCCCTGCCTGTGCCTTGGGGCTCCTGAGCTGACACAGGACTTGTTTTGGAGGCTGCCAAAGGACCTGGATGCTTTTTCTTTCTAGTACAGACAGAAAGGGCAGTACATGAATGTTTCGGAGAGCAACGTTTGTCAGAAATCACTTACATTTTCTCTAGGAAGGTGTACCGAGAAGCGTTGTATGTGAGGGGATTCCGAACGATGGCCATAATATCCTCAGCCCAGCTCTGGGAACAAACACACACACAAGGAGAGGCAGTTGGGCATTATGGAACTGCACCAAGAAGTACACAGCAACAAAGATGGAAAGGGCATAGAACCACAGAATGGTTTGGGTTGGAAGGGACCTTGAAGACCACCAGAGCAGGTTGCTCAAAGCCCCATCCAGCCTGGCCATGAACGCTTCCAGGGATGCAGCATCCACAGCTTCTCTGGGCAACCTGTGACACTGCCTCACTACTCCCATGGTAAAAAATTTCTTCCTTGCATCTAGTCTAAATCTACCCTTTTTCAGTTAGAAACTGTTACCCCTTGTCCTGTCACTCCAGGTCTTGGTAAAAAGGCCTGTGCCAATACTGCTGGGCTCCATATCCCAACAACTGTGCCCTGGGCTTGGCTATATCACCTTCCTACTGCCTATGTATACTAGCAGCTGAAACTTTTCCACTGAGTCTTCTCAGCTCTCTGTTTATCCATACAAAGCACATGAAAGACAAAAATGACATACTAAATTTCTTCTTCTGGTCCTTCTCCATGCAGGGCAGAAGTTTCTAGAACTATGGAGGTATGACACCTTACTGGAACATAAACCTGCTTGTTTATAACTTTGCCAGTAATGCTGACAGGGTTCAGGTTCCCTGTCTTCCCCTCTCCTTTCCTGCTCCCCACTTAATGCCCCAATCCTGAGTGTTTCCCAGTGCTTCCTTGCCCTCAGGACCCAATACCTTGCCAACGTTCTCCTTGTAGGACACAAAGTTATGGAAAGTCAGGTCAACCATGTCAGGGCCAGATACAATAGTCAGAGTCTTAAGCAGGAAGGTGCTGTGAGGGTAATCCAAGTTAAAAACCTCTCGGAGCTTCTGGCACTGTAAAAGAAACAGAACAGATGGGGATGAAGGGAGAATGAGGCAAACTATATCTGAAAAAAACAGGACGCAATCCAAACGTTGATCCAAATTCATAGCAAGCTTTTCAAGGGTTGCAAAATTGTTTAATGTAATCTTCCTTTCCTTGGCTTTCCTTATTTTTCATCGTTATTCAGGAGCCTGCATTACCTGGATCTTCCACGGAGCAAAACATTGTGACTAACATTGCTGCGCAAACATGCTGTTTTGGTCTGAAAAAGTAAAAGTTGGAGACTGCTCTTGAGGTCCTTCTGAAACTTCAGCTTGAACTTGCAGACAAGCAGAGGAGTATTTGACCTGCTCATACCAGAGGTGCATAACCAGGTTATTGCAGACAGCCATTTGTCAAAATACACGCTAAAGAAGTCTTTTAGATTAGTGTGATACCTTTTGCTGTGACCTCCCTCCGCCACAAGACAGATGTCATTTGGGACCTGGAAGATCTACAAGCTTTAGACCTGGTCACTGGAGAGACGGGCGCTCTCCCTCCAAATCACATTTTCTGCTAGTTGTCACTTCCCAGAAGTGGTTTTTTCCATAGCAATTGCAGTATCCTACAGCAATGGCTCACCAGAGATTTGTTTTGTTAAGTATGAGGCTCATCCGATTAGTCATACTTGGATTTCATCACCATATGAAAGTATTTATAGAATCCCTTTACATTATTTAGCATTTTCTGCATTCCTACGTAAGGCATCACTAAGCCAAGGTATCCTGGAGTTGTACTGATGGTCGCTATTTATAATGAAAAGATAAAATTCCCATGTCCTAGAATAAAGCACAGCAATTCATTATCTAAAGTGCAGGATAAATCCATATCAAAGCAAACACGGAGGCTGTCAGAGCACCTGCTCCTCTAGAAACTAAGGGCAAAATCCGTGATCTGGGATTGTTAGCAGGGCAGGTCAGACTCAGAGGTTTAACTGGAGCTGAAATCTGAGCTCTCGCTGTATGCACAGACCTGCAGCTAGGCACACGGCCGAGTTACTGCATTTCAAGTTAAAACATCAGTAACACCTTAACACGTTGCGTATCACGTTAACTTCAGCAGAGGTTTTATCTAAATGACTTTACCTTTGTGTTTGCTATAAACTTTGAGCACAAAGTCAGTCGCTGCAGCTCAGCTCGTGCTTAGTGACTTGTTAAGCTGCTACTAACTGGTCAATGTCTGAATCCCTGCACGCTAAAGCAGCAAACTCCCTGACCTCAGACTTCCACAGACCTTAATTTAGCCCCAACCGACTAGAAACCCCTATATGCAACCATCTGTTTGCATCCCATTGTGATTCAAATGGAAGCAATTCCATTTCTGCCACAGAATCTTCTCTTTATATTTGTACTGCAGTAGCAGAGACTCCAAAACAGCTCAGCTTCAGGCATTCTTACGTGTCTGCACCATGTCACACACAGAGCTGCATACATACATTATGAAGAACGCTGCAGATTTTTTTCCACTGCATTTTTCCAAATTTCTGGAGCGTTTGCAATTTTGACACATCTGTAGCAAACATGCATCTTTAGGAAAAACAGGGTGGGCTGGATTGTGACTCAAGATCATCTGACTGCTGTCTCTTACTCCATTAAAACCTGTATAATCCAAGAGCATTTGGAGGAAATGAAGGGGGAGAGCAGTCAGCCACCCAGAAGGTTTGCCAGTTTTCTAACAGTTAGGGAATTTCTAAAATGGCTCATTCTTGCTTTGTGGGCAATTTTCCTTCGCAGAAGTGAGCAGCACCCACGTACCCACACCTCCTTTCCACGCTCACAGCAACTTCTTGATGGAGCTTAACTTTTCATTACAAGTGGCAAAACGTTAGGATTTTAAGTTCATCTTGCAAACTCACTGGCGTTTGTTGAGCTTCCTTACCTTTAGTGTTGTAAATTATAAGCAGCTAAGACAATAGAGAACTTGTGGTTTATGCTGAACTCATTTCCTGTATTTGTTACAACTGGGCTCCTCCCAGCCCTTCCTTCTCTGCGAACGGGTCTCTCTTGGCTCTCCAGCAGACGCTTCTGCTCACGCCATGTCCCTAGCAAGCTGAACGCTGCATCAGAGCTTCTGCCCTTACCCAGGTGTGCTCCGCCACACCAACCTGACACACGCTGTCTTCGGGAAGGGCCCGATACCTGATCGCCTCTTCAGTTGTTGTTCACGGTCAGTCTTAGCCTGTGCAGCTTTTTAAATGCCATGCCCTTTATCAGCATTAACTTAAGATGCCTCCTAACACCTCAGCGAAGTTGACAGCTTCATTTTATGAGAAGTAAACGGCAGCTGGGAGAAGAAAGGGTGATCTTGTTAGGGATCTAAATTGGGTCACATTTTCCCAGGGACTGACTTCCCGCCTGGCCTTAAGCAAGTCCCTGGCTTACTTTGTGCTGCCTGCCTTACAGGGGGGTTATCTCCCTCGCAGGGTAAGTGCTGTGATGCTGGCGTAACGCTGACAGAAGATGGTGAGACAAACCCAGAGACTGGCCAAGAGCACCGAACCTGATGCCACGTCTCGGCTCTTTCAGAAGCTGTACTCCTTTAGCACCTTGTGCTGCAGCTTGACTACGTAATTAGTGTCACATTGCAGGTGGCCATAAAGGAAAAATAGGAATTGCTACATGAAAAGCAGGACAACCGTATTAGCCATGCAAATCAGAGGAAGGGAAACATGCCTAGCAAATCCACTTAAAAAAACCCCAAACAAACAGAAAACAACCCACTGGCAGAGTGGCTGAAATACAGATTGAGCTTGCATTTCACTTCCCACCCTCCCCATTTCCCTAAAATCCTCATCTGTACAAACCAGATTCATAGTCCAGAGAAAAGCAAATTCTCATGCAAATACAAAGAAAGAGCCAGGCCTAATGCAAGAGACAGAGAGAGAAATAGCCCTTCCTCTGCGTGAAAGGGGATACAGCGAATGATGGCCGGGATGTGCCACAGCTGCCTGCGCTCGCTGCACCGACAATTTGGTATCTTCATGTAACGCGTTACATGATGCAGCGCTTGTGGCATCAGAAGACAGGCCGTGACAACAAATCTTCTCTTTTGGAGAAGAAAGGTCTTGTTTGGTTGCCAGAAGAGAAAGGGAGCACGAAGATTATTCAAGTGCCTTTGGCTCTGCAGGTAACGCTCACGTCCTCGTTAGCAGCACTGCGTTGTCATGGGATTCAGCAAGGAGACGGATGGCTGTGAAGCGGGGAGGGCTGTCCTGCCGCTGTCTGCACCGCGGGGGCCAGCCTGTCTCTGTGCCAAGCATCTCAGTGAGGCAAGGCAGAAAAAAAATACACAGATGAAGCACTCTCAGCTCTCATTGCTGTCTTATCTAAAGGAACTGGAAAATGCAGCAGCACGCAGATTCACATGGCACAAAATAACCCGCGGCATTCTGGAATCGAGCGGGAACAGACTGCGAGGGAGAGATGCAGACTGTGCATCCTCAGTAGCTTCTGTCCCTGTGGTCTAAGAGCTCACGCTGCAGAACGATGGAAGAGGCAGGAAAAGGGCCCAGCATGGCAAAGGGCCATTATTCTGATGTGACTGTTTCCTTGCTCAGCCCCTGCTCCACTATTTATAAACCCTTTGCAAGCCACAGGCTTCTCCCGGCTTTTCTCTTGCATGCACACAGATCAGTTTGCCTCCGTACGGCTTCTAAGGCAGACTCTTTTATTTGGAGGCCTGAACATCAGACATTGTTTAGTTCCACCCTGTGCTCATGCCCATTGCGGAATCCACAGCGCTGAGCTGATGCTCGGCCCCCAGAGCTGCCGCCTGGCCCCTGCGATGCAGCAGAGCGACTGACCACCCACAACGTGCTCAGCTCCGAGGGCAACCTGAGTGCTCCCTGCACTGCCGGCTCCTAAACGCTACTCATTCCTACTTTATCATCTCAAAATAGGATGTGTGAAATACCTTGGTATCATTTTCTCCCTTGTACGTGTTCAGTTCAGAGTCTGCATCTCTGGGTTCAATAACAACAAAATGTGTATGGAGGATGAAACTGTTTTATAATCATGACAAGTAGGCAGAAAATACAATTTCTGTTTTTATGAAAAACTATGCTTGTTTCAAAGCCAACGCCTGCTGAAATGTCTAAACAAAACCCAAGATGAAGCCAACAGCCCAGCAGTCTGTCCTAAAACATCACAGATTTTGGTCCTAATTATTACATTCTCTGTCAGTGTTCTAGGGTCCTGATGCATCAGAAAAAAACCCAAAATGGAACAGCTGTTATCGTTCCTTGTTACACAAAGGAAAACACAGAATTGCATTGTAAATAACATCTTGATCTGCTTCGGCATGCTGCTGAACTACATTCAATAGCTTTTTATCTTGTCTCTATGTTCAAAGTCCCTGCTAATTCTTATCTCTGTTACTCTTGAACATGCGCCAAAGTTCATTCTGCCCTGTCTCTCAAAAAAATTTCCACAGAGAAAAACCACCGCAGAACACTGAGTAGCTCTCAAAGAAAATAAAGCAAAGGGGGTGAGAAGGGGAAACCTGCACACGCATAGAGGAGGTCGTGGGAGGACTCGAGGGCTGCGTGCACGCTTACGTGCTAACCGGCCAGGAGGCGAGGGCCCCGAGCGGGGCAGGAAGAGAGAACAGAGCCTTTGCTCAAAGAGAGCACGGCTGTGCCTCACCTTCAGGCAGGTTCAGTTCCAGGAATCCTTTCCTTCTGGGGCAAACAGCAGCAGCCCTTCTCATTTGGAGGTGGCTCCTAGTGCTGCCAGCCCTCAGTGACGTGTCCCTTTGCCAATGCCACACTTGCTGTGCTGGGCCCTGAGGCTGACCAGCTGCTCCCTCAGCGCTTGCAGAGTCAGGAAGGGGGTCCCACCAGTCCCTGCCTCCCAGCTTGCAGGGACAATGCCGTGACCTGTCCTGCCGAGGGAGTCCGTATGACGGCAGGTCTCTTCAGAAGTGGTTTTCTGCGTGGGCGCTTTGGTGTTCATTCTTCTTGCTGTGTATAGAGAGGTTACAAAGAAAAACCCCAAACCTCTTGCTTAGCAGCAGCGGGAAAGCGTTGCTGAAAGCAGGTAACTCCCACCATCCATGGTACGACCACCGGTCAGCAGGGAGACTCATCTCGCCTACATCGGTCTGAAAAGCTCCGGGCACATTCCACCTGCATGCAGCTTGAACCACAGCCAAAAAGTGCACAGTACCTTGCAGAGGAAAGCAAGAGTGCAGATGCTCTCAATAAAGCACTTCCCTTCCTTGTAAATGTCTTCAGTCACAATTCCGTATGAAAACTAGATCACAAGCTTTGCCTCACAGAGGCTGTGGATTTACTATTGCATCACTTGCAAGGAAGGGGAGAGAAGAGGAAAAGGACACTTGATTTGTTATTGGTAGTACCCAAAGCTCTTCCAACAGCTGTGATCTTGCTCTCCTTGTCTTAAATATCATCCATTAGCCCCTTCTCCACTTTTAGCCAATGAAACAAGTAACTGTTTGCATTAATTTCAGCCGTTATATCCCACAACTGTTCCAAGCCATTATTTTGTAACGGGAGACAGCACCCTTTTCCATTCTTCCACCCTTCACCACTAACAGATCTTTGTTTCCACATCAGTTTTTCATATTTATACTTTTTTGTAATGGTGCACCAGACATAGCTGCCGTATGTGGAGGGTGTGGTGATCCACATGAAGAAATTTTCACTTCTTTCTGCACTCCTTTGAGCAAATTCTGTTCTCAGTAAAGCCAACTGAATACACAACTGAGGGCTTTAAGTAAGCCCTACAGAAGCATCATGGCTAGTACAGCCATGTATAAATAAGAAATTCCCAGGACTGGACAGCACATCTCTCGCGCCATTTTGGTTCATCAGCCATTTCAGTGCCCACACAAGACCTCTCATCATCCCATAAGAGAAAGGTGGATAAGGAGCCAGCCTAGTGCATTTTAGTACATGTTGTCATAGAAATGACAGACAATTCCCTGAAATAAAAAGGAGATTTATTTTAAATGGGTCTCTCTGAAATGCAGAATTCAAAAAGCACTTGGGATTTTCACAGCAGTGGTTGTCATCAAGCGCATCACTTCTGCCTGTTAAGAATACTTAATAAATCACTTGGTGCTTGACCTTTCTCTGTAAAAAATGAGCTGTAGCCAATTCCCAGGACTGTTAAATACTGTCTCTGGCCTATTACAATGGTTAGAATACAACAGCTACACCAGGACAGACCACAGATCCATCCAGATGCCTGGGGAAAAGTCTAAGAACAGGGCAAACGCAGTGATACTTCCCTGACACATTTCAGCAGCTTCCAGCAATTTATGATTCAGCAGCTTCCTAAACCAGAGGCATTATCTTGCATTTAATAACCCTCAAAGGGAATTTCCTTCTTGTCCCGACTTTTTAAACTCATGTACATTTTCATGACTTGTGCAGGAAGGCATCCCCTGGCGCAGCAACACAACATGTAAAACAGCAGCACCTCCTCCTGCTTGTGCTGAACCTGCCTTTGGAAAATTCCACTTGGTGTGTAGCTCTCACACTGGAAGAAAGACTGAATAACTGCTTCACGCTCACCTTCTCCATTCAACTCCTGATGTTGCAGCACTCCACAATACTCCTCCACATTCCCCTCATCCTTTTTTCTTTTTTTGCCAGACTACAGTCCCTGCCTACTCAGATGCTCTTCCTACAGTAGCCATTTCATTCTTTTATTAATCTTGCTGCTCTTCTCTGCCTTTTCCGGTTCTTCTTTGTCTCATTTGAAATGAGGGCACTAGAAATGCACAGAAATATGAGTGCACACAGTGGCATGATTTCCTAATTCTTATAATTCCTAACATACAACTTACTTTTTCAAGCAAATACTACTGAACACCACACTGACATTTTACGATACCCTCACGATCTTGTTTCTGAGTAGCAATAGTCAACTCAGAGCCTGTTATTACAGAAGGTTAGGATCGGGGGGGTTTTTCTGTGTGCATTGCCTGATTTTTATCTGTACTAAATTTTATCACTTACTAGATGATCCAGTCCATCAGCAATTCAAGGTCCTTCTACAATCAGCCCTCATTTTATGACCACAAATAACTTGGTACCATTGGCAAACTTCGTCTTGTCTCTATACACCTCTTCTGCAGATCACGTGTGAACACAGAGTATGTCACAGGCCCAAGCACTGCTCTTTCTGGGAGTCTGCTGGTTCTCTCTCTCTCTCTCTCCTCTCAAGAGACCTTTTTCTTATTCTCCATCAGTAATTTTTCCATGCAAAGATGTCCTCTCTTATTCTGTGCTTTAAGAGCCTTTGCTTATGATGGGAATCACATGGGCCGTTTTCCAATTTTATGGAAAAGATTTAGAGCTAACTATGGAACACAGCCACTGCTTCCCCCTCCTCCTTTGCTTTTTGCTACCCTGGTACTGCTCATGAATTTCCTCATTCTTTTCACAAACTTCTTTGTGCTCTTATTAAGAATCTCTTTTAAAAAGCCATTTTAGTTTTTCTCTGGATATGGAATGTGGTCATCCCAACACTGTACTATGAGTTACTCTTAAAAAAACTGGGGTTGGTCTTGTTTCCAGGGCAATTCCTTCTGTCTAGAGGCAGCTCTGACACTGCTGGTACGTTTCTCCTGTTTCTCTCCAATTAGTCTTCCTTAACTAATTGCTAAATCCTAGGACATTTCTCTCCAGCCTGCCTGTTGCCACCAGGACATCCACCTACGGCCTCACTAATTACACCATCTACAAAGCTGAATTCATTTTGTAAACAGGTTATTCCGAGAAGTTTAATACCCTAGAAAATAGTATCTCATGCATCTCCTTTAAGTTGGCCTTTTCCTTAGTGCATTCTGCCTGGAGTATAGCACCTAGCTCTACCAGCTCCAAATATTTTATTCCCTCAAACAAAAAAAACACCAAACCAAAACAACAAAACTTCTGAGAGTTTTCAAACATTATTTCCACGAAACAAGTTGCAGACAAAGTTTTAGGCTTGTTGAAAACTCAAATATGTTTTGTTCTACTGAATTTCCAAGAAGAAACACAGTTTCTCAGAAGGAATGATGATTTAAGAATTCTGTAAGATGGGTACTGTTCTTGAGCTCCGCTGTGCTTTTACCACCCACCTCATTATGGTCTTTTGAGAAACACCAGTCTCAGGGAGCTCTGAATAGACACCTTCAGAGCAGTATTAAGAAAACAGCCATACTACTTACGCAAAAAGGCTGCTCAAGTCTCTCAGTATATATTGCAAAATCTTCCCCTTTTGCGTTAGACTGAGAATCACCTATGTTACCATATGGAGCCGTTATCTTTACTCCTTTGTTTCCTTTTCACATTCTAGCTTTACTTCAATTTTCTGCTTGCCTTTTCCATACATGGGAAAGTTAAACACAAACAAAAAAACAGACCGAGAAAGAAGTCCTAACAAGGACAACTTTGCTGCAAGAAGCTTAAATTATAACTGAAACCAAGAACAAAGTCATAATCGTGTGCTTCCCTTAGGTCTGCCACCCTGCAAGGAGCCCATTTAAAATTATTTGGGGAAAAAAAAAAAGAAAAATAAAGGCTAGTTTTTCTGAAACTACATTTTCTTCCCTTTAAAGGGAAACAACCTCACCACACACTGCTTTGCATCTCGCTGTAACTACAGGTTTCTAGCTGCCTTGACCCAGCCTGTGCATCTCTGCACAAGAGAGCAGCTCTGGGGACTCAATACAGGAGCATCACAAGTCTCCTGCAGGACTTCCCAGTGTAGCTCAGCGAAGGTAAAGGCCAGGCCAAGATTAAAGCTTGTTAGATGCATGGCAGGGGGAGAACCCAGCCACTGTGCACAACAGAAAACGGCTCTTTTGGAATGCATTTGGAAAGGGAACTGTTGTTTTCCCAGCTTTCTGGCATATTCTTTCCAACAAGTTTATATGCCATAGTCTGGAAATGCCTTTCTTTCGGGTGCACAGAGGACCCCTGCGACAAGAGTAAAGACGGCTTTTCTATATTTATGTAGTTCTGATGCAAGAAGACAAGGTCCTCTCCACCTTCTTGTAATAGAAAGCCAGGGCAAACTGCCTCAGCTTACACCAACACCCTAGGCAGTCTTGCCTTTCCCATTTAAACAACCGGCAGAAATGAAGCTATGCACTCACCTTGGGGATTTTGGCAAATCGCCCTACTCGGGTATCTCGGATGCTGGTTATATCCAAAATTTCCATTTCCTACAACAGAATAAGGACAGGGAAGATGAGGAAAGACAAAGGAGCAAGGAAAGAAGTCCACCGCAGAGCCCTCAGAAGCTGCAAAGCAGGTCTCAGCCACTGCCCTTCCCTGGGGAAGAGTGCTCCCAGCAGGCACAACGCAGGCAGGGAAACACCAGCTGCCGCTGTGCCGAGCTGGCAGGCCGGCTAGCGCGGAGGCAGCGGTGGTCTGCAGCCCTGTCCTCCTCAGGGTGAGGCCGGAGGCTCCATGTGGATTACCGTGAAGAGAGTGTATCGCATGCATACAGGTTTATATGGAGAAACTCTACCCCAGTTACAAGTCCATGTGTTAATGCCAGCCTGTCTTTTGCCTCCACGCATTCAACACAGAGCAGCTGAGCTGGAAGGCAGGCAGGCCCACTTCTCCCCAGGTCACTCCTGGCAGACCTTCCCCTAATCTGTTCTGAAGCAATTCCCATGGAGAACGTTCCACAACCTTCCCTAGGCAGCCCACTCCATGTCCTCACTACTGCCTAGTTGTCATGTTTATTTTCTTTGTTCTTTTAATATCCAACCTGAATTTCCTTCCTCTGTTACTAATTTGTCTGCTCACCGTGGATCTGGAGAACAAATTATACTTGTTGCGGTAGATAATATTGTTTTCCAAGATCACAATAAGGAACAAGGTGGATACCATGTCTTCTGGCTGTATCCCCATTTTATTGTCAAGCTGGATGGAAATTTTATTCCTAATCCCACTCCTTTCTGAATCCCTAGTGCAAAAGCAGTGAAGTTTTTCTTCCTTGCTGTTCATGACAAGCAGATCTTAAGAGGAGTCAACCAAAGATTAAGAAGCCACACAAATTCAACAGACAAACTACTGACCATACCACACCACACTCTGTATCAGCCCATGTCTTGTCCCTGGTCACTATGCTCATGCCAGCCTGCACGGGACCTTCACAAGCCTGCCCCAGCTCCCTCTGACAGCCAGCATTTGCCTACCACCCTTGCTAGCTCACGCTGTCTGCAGATTCCCTCAGGGAGCAAGAAAGATGCCAGACAAGTGCTTCGCCAAAGATGTGAAACAGGCTGTTTCTCCACTGCGGCTCTCAAATTTGTTTACAGTTTATTTTAGGTGCTAATCAATGGCATTTTCCAGGAAAATCAGACCCCCTCCAGTCTGGGTTTCCTCATGTCAGCTATGCTTCCTTATCCCAGTCCCTTTCCCAGGTAATTAAATCCCTCATACCACTAACCCAGTGAAATATCTCACTTTAGATGGGTGACAGCAGCTCCCCTTGCCCCGTTTTGTGCACCTCCCCCAGTACTACTTCTTCCTGCTGCCTGCTGGAACTCTTACAGCAAAAATTCTACCGCCAGGAGTGGGCCTTGAAAGGGGAGCGAGAGTTACAGAGATGGCTGAAAAGCCAGCACATCTTCTAGAGGGATGTGAGAGTCCCCAGCCTCACAACGCTGTTCTCGGAGGATATGGCTGTGTGGCAGTGCCTTGCCCCAGTTGGCACTAGGGCACAAACTTCTGAAAAGGCAGAGCTCATCAAAACACATCAGGCCTGTTGGCCAGGGTGCTGTGCAGGACTACTGTCTCTGTCTTTATCTACCATGCCTCTTCAGCATGTAGGTCACGAGGAGGAAGTAGAGCTGAACCACAGCTCTGCTCTGGAAAGCAGAAGTAAGCCCAGCCTTCCACCTCCAGTCAGCCAGATCACTCCACCACTCATTGCCACTCATCAGTGAGGAACTGAATTCTCTTTCCTAAATTTGTTGCCTCTCACTCTCCTCCAGCAGCCAGCATCCTGTGGTTTACCTCCAGCAGCGTGCACACAGCACCCTGCCCTGAGAGGAGCACAACTCACTCTCCAGACTGGATGTAGTCTCTTACGGTCACTATTGTGTGGGGGTTTTTTTTGTAATTAAAATTTCTAAACCCTCAACAAGTCAGGTAATTACAACACAGGCTGCACATGAGGTACACCTTAACTGAAGCTGCCTACATTTAATTGCATATGCCTAGCCATTTTCTTTCCAACTGCACCATTGTACTGGTTGGGAGAATCCTTTAGTGTGCCGGGTAACAGGGATATCAATACTACTGTTCTCTGTAAAGTCCTTTGAAGCACATCTAGTGAACTCTCTGGGTATAAGATACCAGCATGACAAGGACAAAAAGGCCACGCTCATCTCTCTGGCATGTTCACAGCTTAATTTCCTGCTCTTTTCTGGAACTCTGAAGACAGACAAATCTGCCATTGAATAAGCGTGAGACTCCCAGGTCCTTTGTGGGGGGGTTTCCTGCTAAGTGGAATGACTGTGGTAGTTTGCTCTCAAGTGCAGAACTCGAGCACTTACGGTGTTTTAATCTTGCACAAACTTAAACTGGCTATTTGGAGACCAAGCTGGGAAGTCTCAGCACTTACCTTATTCTGATAGGTCCAGTATAAGTAAAACCCCTTTGGATCCACTCGAAGAATCACAGGAGAGGCACTTGCTGTTTCCTGACAAAAAAAACCAAACAAACACAGAAGAAGGAAGGTCAGCACCCTATGTGACTTGAAGAAGCCATCATGGGACGTAAGGTTCTCAGTTCAAATATAGACCCAGTTGGGTGAATCACCCTCTGTGATTTATGGAAATGAACCAGACGGTTTTAGTACATCTCCAGAGTAACAGTGCGAGGCTGCGGAAGCTGATCTCTGCTGAAGCCCAAGTCTCAGCTAACACTACACATTTAGCTAGAACAACTCTATTGGAGCTTTCTATACAATGAATCAAGAGAAGAAAGTACCTGTAGATACAATTGTTTGGTTTATTTGAACTGCCTTCCCTCCAAGGCACCTCCTTCATTCCATGAGCTCCAGAAGTAGCCCAGGCCAAGTAGAGATAGCATTCACCCGTGGCATCTACCATCTAGGTGCTCATGCTGGTTATCTGGGCTCTCTTTACAGAGAATGAGCCTAGTCAGGAAGAGTTCAAGGAGGGGTCCATCTAATACAACAGATGAGTCTGCTTTAGGTGGCGATTCTTAAACTCCATGGTCTAGCTCTACACAGACTATAAAGAGAAGCAGCTATTTAAACACCCACGCTACAGGCACAAAACTAGATGAAATTGTTCAGGGCTGATCCTGAACCCCATACGACAGGGAGGCCCTCCAGCTCAGAACCAAGGCATATACTGCAAAGGAGACACAGGCTGCTGTGAGGCTGTGTGCTTTGCCGCTGAATAATTACACTGCTTCTGCATTTTCAGTTAAAGACAACTTCACAGACATTTTCAAGACAACAGCCGTTCCCACCTCACATGCAAGCCTGCGCTAAGAGACGAATTAGCATGAGCTCTTTGGAGACAGAGATGAAGGATGCTTGGCGCCTCTGCTTGGGTCCCAGCCCATTTGCTCATTCAGTCTAGATAACTCCTCACTGCATTTGACCTCTGGTGCCCAGAAGACAGGAGCATAAGGCCTATCAGCCATTTCCAGGAAGGCTTCAAATTCAATTCAGGAAGCTGAAATACCCATCTACTGAGATGAAATCAGTACTGGAATTTGGAAGCTGTATTTGTCACTTGGCCTTGGGACCTTCGGTTTGTTATTGAACTCATACTTTACTCCAGAGTGTATCTGTATTTCCAGGGACCTCCATTTCCAATTTCAGTATTCTTCATTACAGTAAACTGCCCATGCCACAGTACATCGTATGTTCTCCTTTTGCTCCCTACTGTCTTTCTCACACCGTACTAGGGACAACGCTGATCTGCACAGCATCATGTCCATGTTCCCAGAGCTCTTGGTTAGCTCCCGGAACACATGGCCACAAGCCATGAAGAGCAGAACAGGCACTGTAGTCCTACTGCTGAGTATTGTGCCACGTTTCCAGATTAACCTTATCTCTTATGAAGCAGCTTTCTTGAAGGCAAGTTGAGGCTGCAATAAGGACGGCTGGCAGCTGGCCTCCTGATCGGAGGACATGGCTGGCTGCGGGGTACAGGCAGACTCTCCTACGGGGTGGCTCCTGGCAACCAAGGAAATGGTGAATTCTACAGAAGATGGTCTGGCAGCCAAACTGGCTGCTGCTCACACTGCAGAGTTCAACTCCAGGGCAGAAAGCAAGCATTGTCTGGTAAAATCCTGCAATCCATAATACTTTTGCTTCTACTATGAGGGCTAAGACTCAGCATAGAGCCAAATCCACATGCATCTGCCCCGCTTAAGAGGTCAGCTACTACACTGTGCCCTACCTGAGGGTTTGAAAGGGTTCCCAAGCTGGTTCATGAAATAAACTATCATTCATGTAGTAGGACTTAACCTCTTTAGTCTGCTTGGCAGCCTCAGCTTGCTAAACAAAGCACAGCAGAGTTGCTGCTTACCCCAGGATGAGGCAACTCACTCAGTGGGACAGGACAGAACAGCCCTGCCTGTCAGGTTCTCCTCCAGAGAATACATTACAATTGCTGGACAAGGTGAAGGCAGTACAGAAAAAGCCTGGGTTTGCTTTTCTAAAGAAACTCTTGGGTACAGTGAAGGCTCCATTGCAGTCCCAAACTGTACAGAGTGATGTAAGGAGCCAATCTGATCTACCTTCATTCCTTTGCCTCAGATACTGTGGGGGGAGTTCTAAACTGTTACCAACAGTAAGGCCAGGTCAATTCACAGAGTGAGACAAAAAAATCGCAGGCCCATGACCTCTAAAGAGCAGCAATCCTGCAGCCTGGAGCTCTTGCCATCATCCTTTGCAGCCTGCTCTAACTGGAGTGGGAAAGCATGGTAAGATGGAGCAATGTGACCAGAACAGCCCACCTGTGGAGAAGGCTCTCGCTATTGTTGGAGATCAAGTCTGTAAACTACTTAGTAATTAGAGGTAACCTTTTAGGAATGTTTACACATCTGTAAACCTTAGGGAAAAATCCATGCAGGACTTGAGCTCCCCAACTCCTATGGTTGCAGCAGCAAATAAACACTTGGTGGGTCTTGGAAGCCCAATTTGACCTACCTTGGGTTTCAAGGGAGCCTAACTATCCCAGGAATTCCAAAACACTTGGTGGGTCTTGGAAGCCCAATTCGACCCACCTTGGGTTCCAAGGGAGCCTAACTATCCCAGGAATTCCGAGTGAAGTACTTAACAGCTTCAGGTTTTGGGGAAAGTGGTCCTCAAGGACTGAGCACAGAAAATCAGCAGCAATTTTAGACAAGTTTGGCTACTGTTATTCTCAGAAACCAAATCCCTGTTCAAATTCAAAGAAGCCACAAGTGCATTCTGCAGGCAGTGGCTCCATAGGAAATAAAGTGAAGGCTGTGCCTTCCACCATACCCTCGTGTCATCCTCCTGTTTATGGACAGCTAGTGGAATAACTGCCCAGTGATATTCCAGCCTGTATTCCTCAGCATTCATCCTTTCTGTCAGCTGTATATGACATTGCTTTCTCATTCCTCAGTGCCGCTGGACCACCCTTGCTTACGCTGCACACAAGTGATCTGCCTCCCCCGCACACACTGCCTTGGGACTCCAAACTCCGTTCCAGCTTTACACCCACCAAAGTAAGCACTAATCCCTCCTGCACTGCTGCTGGAGGCTGCTTCTAATGCGTCTCATTTGCAATACCACATCAAATGTTTCCCTCAGATCTTGGTGAATAATGACGATCTGGCCTGCCCCCGGTTTTATCAACATTCACGCTCAATAGCAGACAATTCATCCTGCAGACAAAATGGATGGGCAGCTGCCGTCCTCTTGCTGAGGGATGTGGGTATGAGGGTAAATACTCTTTTGCCTTCTCAGGAAGTGAGGAGGGGGACTATTACATTCAAATTAGCTTCTCCTCTTCTACTGTTCCACACTTTCTTCCCCTCACAACGAAAGCCAACAGAGAATGCAAACCAGGTGTTTTGAAGATACAAGAGGACACCAAGTTGGAGAGAGAAGCAGCTTCTTGCAGCACCCTCTGAGGCCCCAGCACCGTTCACGCGCAGGCCCCTTGCTGCTTGGCCGCTGCGCACTTGGTAGCTCACAAAGCCACAAGCTGGGCAGGCATGGGAGGACACGGCTTGCCCTCCGATACACTCCAGCAACAGGGCCATAAGAGGAAGCAACTTGGAGCCTGATTTTCTCTCTATGTGTAAAGCACGGAGAGTCCACTCAGCTCTGGAGTAAATCCTACCCCTCGCACTCCTCCGGACGAGTCTGAATGCAGCGTCTGCCCCTCACCCCAAGGAGACCCCCAGCAGTGACCGCCTTCCTGAGGGCCGGTTCACAGACAGGACCCTAGGGCCCTACCTCAGACAAGCTGCGCACACAGACCACACTCCATTCACCTCCATCCTCCACCGCAACAAGAGGTGCAGAAGCCACATCACCAACCTCTAACACATACGCCCTTGGTTTTTAGCCCTCAGCTCTCCTGTTCTTCTCAGTTCACTCTCCCTATCCAGACATCACTCCTCTCAGGTACGACACAGTGTCCCACCCCCTCCCTGAATACGTGCTCCCAGCCTCCCCACAAACCCTCACCAAAACACAGTATCTGCCCTGTCACCATGCATACAACCTAGCGATGCAAAAACCCCGGTACTCACATCATCCCATTTGATGAAGCGCTCACCCTTGGACAGGTACTCCTTCACCTCCGGGGGCTGCAGGACAGGGGTGAGCACTGACATTCTGTCCCGCAGGTGTGCTCCTCAGCTACCAGAAGCAACAGCAGCTGCACTTTGCTCCTCCTTGGCCCCCTCTCCTCTATCTCTGCCTCTCACATGGCAGGGCTCTCTGCCATTGCCGCTGTTGGCATCAGAAAGCAAACAGCCTCCTATATCACAGTCCAATTTAGGAGGGGCAGGCACAGGCAAGCGAGGACCGATGAATCTGCATTGTAAATCAACGGCTCTCCAAGCAAGCAGGAGAAGCTCAGCCCAAGGTCAGCTAGAGGAAAGCTTGCGATGGGCTGAGATGCCCACGTGGACAGTCTTGCACGCACGCTGACTCTCCAGGCAGGACCTACTCCTCGGAGTTGTACTTGTGAAGAGCGCAGTTCGTAGCACTTCCGCAACTGAACTTCCTTAAATGTTCTCTTTGACGAAGTGCAGGCATTGCCAGCTGACACTCAAACTATTTGAGCAGATGTGGTTACAGAACGGCTCGGGCTTTGGCTACAAGCAGACTGCTCCCTTCACGGAACGGGCCAAATATCATGTAAAATAAGCTTATTCTTTGCTCTGTACAGACTCCATTTCTGGGGCCACGTGCTGCACTGCCCAGTCTTTTAACTTTTTTCCTTTCTCTTATGGGTTCTTCTGAATGTCAACCTGAAAAGTGAGACAGACCAGCAGAGCAGATGGAAATTCCGCAGACAGATGAAATAAAACATTCACAAGAGTCCCTAGGAACTGCAATATTCTCAAGATTCACTTGGGCTAATGCAGATGCTGTGGGAATACAGAACAGGAGAGATCTATAAGGTGGAGATTGTAACAGTGAAGCTGCAGGGAAGTGACAGAAAGCAGAACAGAAGGTTAATGACAAACAGGGCAAAACCGAGTCCCTGCTCCTGACCCTGGAACGAAGGAATTGCGTGTGGACAGCAGAGGAGAAAAGGAGCTCTGGTGGCAGATGCACACTGGCTAACCAGAAGGAGCAGCCTGTGAAAAGGACTGACATGGGCAAGGTTAATTTTAGTCAAAAAGGCAGAGCCCCACTACTAATGAGAAGTGGGGATAACTGTGCTATACTTGCTATAACAGGATTCCCAGCCACACGGTGGGATTTCACCCTTGTTGTCTCCTACGAAAGTCGAGGTGTGGCACTTGCCATTGCTCAAGAGGGACAAGATACTGTCTGCTGGTGCTGCTGTAGTTAAAAGCAGCGCAGATTCTCTGAGAAGGGTGGACAAAACTCCCACTGTGCCAAGGGAGCCAACTGCATGGTTTTGTTGCTTCTTTCCCACCTCTGACTTACCCAGTTTGATAAGGCCAGCACTTCAAAGCAGATTGGACAGCCGGGGCAAAGCTGACTGAAGGAATCCTAAGGGCATTCTCAAATGTTAGTGGCACGAGGCAGGAGAGATGAAGTGGACCTGTAGCAAGTGCTCTAGCTGTAAAAAACCAAAGAGGGCAGAAATTACCAGAGAGATACTTGCTGCAGAAACAGAGAACCCTGAACAAACCTAACACCCTTTGTACATTTCTTCCAAGGGTTTATCTGCCTGACAAACTGGGAATAAGAGAGCTTCTACATTTTCAGCTACCATTGAGTTTTCGGCATTTACTAACATATTTTGCAAGGCACCCTACTTTCCAAGAACTGGCTACCCAAACTAAGGCTGTTAGGGCAGCGGGCTGAGGTGGTGTACCCATAGCTGTGGTTGTTCTGTATCAGGGCTGAGACTAGGGACATGGGAATCCCTGACCCCCGGTCTCATAACCAAGCCACTGGTGGCATAAAGCTTCCTTTGCATGTGTGTCAAAGTGACAGGCAGCCAGCTGACAGAGCACTGGGGTACTCTAGGCTCAGCCAAGACAGCAGCACCAGGGCCCGCCCCCCCCCCCCAGAGACCGTTGTTACTCCCAAGCAGCAAAGCAGCAGATGACAGCAGTCTGCCCAGATCTCAAAGGCTGAGCTGGAACTGCTCAGGGACATCAGCAACAGCCTGGTACTTGGCATAAGTGCCAGTGAAACGATGGCACTGCTGGGCGGGTTTTGTTTTCTGTGCTCTTGTAAGCAGCTTAGGAACACACCCTGAGGCCTAGCTACGTATAGAGAAAGGCCATGGGAGCACAGGAGGCTGCAGGGAGGAGTGAAAGTTTTCTCTGTCCTCACCTGATCCCTTCTGCAAGGCCAGAGCAGTTTCAGGGCTGCTTAACTTTAACTTACGGAGCAGCAGTGAAAAGGATAAAGAGCATTGATCTTACTCAGAAGTGCTGCAGTCCTCCTGTCCTCTGCAATAAAGCAAGCACTAAAGGAAGGCTGTGATGAAGTGAAAGGTGGGATGAGCTTTGCCACCAGAGGGACTGCAGGTGAGATCAGTCACAGGTACTGGTTCCAGTGGCCCATCTGGTATTTACCACAGCTATCATAGCTTCGTGAACCATGTCTGCTACCTGCCAGAACCAGGACCTCGCAGAAAGGCCGCTTCTGTCCTGCATTCACTCAGACCTGGATGTTCAACAACTTTCTCTGTCTCATCAACAAACCGAAGTAAGCAAGATGCCTGCTGCAGCTTTACAGAATCACAGAATCGATTTGGTTGGAAGACACCTCTGGGATCATTGAGTCCAACCTTTACTTACTTGTCACTCAAGCTCAGCTTTCCTCAAAGGATAAAACATTAAATTAAAAAAAAAAACAACCAACATGAAGAGCAGCAACCAAGCTAGCAAGTGTCCTGTGAGGCTGCACGGTGCTGCACAACATCAACTGCCAAGATCCCCACTTGCATAAAGATGGTGACAAAAGCTGAAGCTCACTTCCTTTTACATAACCCATCCTCCTTATCTTTCGTTTCACACTCCTTGCTCTATGTGGGAGCTTCTGTCCCTTGCATGAAGAGATGGCTGATGAAACAGTGATAGAATAAAGCAAGAGTCCTGCCCTCTGCTGAAAGCTCTGATATCGGGGCAGGTAGAAGCAGCAGCACTTTCAGCAGTAGTTACTCTGACCGCCCTTTATTTTCTTTCTCCTGCAAGGCCCATCACCCAGTGCATACTCATCCTACTCACCCTCTGTTCAGAGTCCCGTGCCTCCTATGCTTTCATCTCTTATCTTCACCACTGTGCATCCCACCACCCATCACAAGAGTTTTGATGTGCAAAAATTTCCCTTTTCCATTTTTCTTTTTTTCTGGAGATTCTTCCTCATCTCCCTGTCCTACCTATTCAGCAGCCTCAACCTCTCACAAAGCGCATGCCGAAGCCAGTTGGTCAGCGTTACCCTTCAGAGATCATACAAGACAGGCTCTGTAGACAGTGATTTAATCCATGCTGTCTATTAAGCGACCTTGACTGGGTGGCTCCTGGGTTCCAGCAAATTACCCTGTATCCTCAACCCCAGCCCATTCCTAGCACACACGAAACCTCTTCCAGGGTTGCGCCAGTGCAATTACACTTTGCGATGTGCAATGCTGCCCTCTAGTGAACGGCCATGAGAGTGCACACCCAGCCTCCAGCATCGCCTTCAAACACCAGCAATAAACTCACAGCGAAGCGAAACGGAACTCATCCTCCTGCTCCTTTTTCTATTTTGCCCTCTGAGCCCTGGGAATCCCGAAAGGATTCATGACACCATTAGGACCACAAAGGCCAATATTGTTCTCACCACCTCTGGAGAGGAGAACTGCTGAACGTGTGTGCCAGGGCATATTTTGGTCCTACTTTGAGCACAAACCACAAAGCCAAGGATTCATGACAGGTCTCAGCTGACAGCATGACTCTTCAACTTGATCTGCAAAAGTGAGAGGGCAATGGACTATGGCACAGAAGGACAAGTGGCCACAGATGCCACAATACCATAAAGCAGTGAGGTCTTGTGTAAAAAAAAACAAAAACAAACAAAACACCAAAACCACCAAACCTGAAAAGCTGTCTGACCAACCACCGAGACATGGTTAGGTCCATAATTAACTGTTCACTGGGCAGGAATACGCAGGCTCCCACACTATTTAAACATCCTATACATTACTGCAATATAAAAGTAATTGCTGCAGCGGGATGACTAAACCATACAATTCCTAATATTTAGCAAAAGAATGAAGCTTTCCAAAATGGGTCAGTAACAGAAGAGGAAGCGGGATGAAGAGCAGCAGCCCACCAGACGGAACGTGCCCGTCTCGTGTCACCTCACAGTAACGGAGCAGCAAGAACAGGAAAGCGACTTCATCCAAATCTGGAGGTGAATGCATCTGATTGCCCCACTGCGTTTACCTACGGTATAAAATACTGAACTGGAAATCAGGGTACTGGGGGAGAAAGCCCCATTTTGCTCTTGACCTCATCAACTTTTTCCTCCTACTCTACCAGCCCAACTTACTTCAACTGTAAGCTGTCTCGTTCTGTGGATGCACTTGCTGCCTGCCACAGCAGATCCACAATCCTAGTTGAGACCTCAGCATTACTGTAACGCTTCTGCCATATTCACATCCTCATCGCTCCTGCTTTTCACAGTCAGCCTGTTCGCTCTACAACTGGACTTTACTCACTCTGCTTCCCTCGGTTAGGATAATTTTTCCCACTTGTGAGAAGGTCAGATCCCAAAGCACGTTGTACAAGTGTGAGAGTCGGTCCGAAGTTGGCCCAAAAAGAACAGTAATGTCTCAACATCGTCAGCGGAAACTTGGAGATAATATGCCAACACCTGAAAAGGGCGGATTGAAAGGGAGTTGCAAAAGCATGCACTTCGTGATTTCTAAATAATTAGTGAAACAGATACCAAAAGACCTTGCAGATAGAGAAAGAATGCTAAAGCAAGTTGTGAAGGACAAAACGTAAGAACTAATAGATATGTACAGAATGATTCACTGTGAAGTTCTGATAACAAAGTATCTGTAAGCCCTTATTTTCTATGCATGCCCAGGACACTGCCAACTGGAAGAGTTCAGCAAAAGGACAAGTGATGAAGACTATGAAAAGACCACGGGAGGAAGTAAACGACCACCAGAGATACTGTAATCCTC